CAAAATAAGATACAGCTTGTCTAGAATACCATACCAGCAATATCCTAGAACATCATACCTAAGTATATATTACAACCTCTTCATACCACACACCACATATCACACACTAGCCAGTTGGTTGCCAGACATATCAATAATCATCTCTATTTACTTCATACATACAATGATACAATCCACACAATCACAAAACAGCCATCTCCATATCTCTCCTCCATATCGTTTTCCCAAGCACAAATTTACAAATTTACAAATCACTATTCCTGTAATACATCTTTTATATACCTTAATTCCCTCACCCAGACTCTCCCCACAAACCCCAACCTCTCACCGTCCTATTCAATCTCTCATTACTCACCCACCCACAAGCGAGTGACATATAAACAAAGCACCAGAAAAATTACCTACACACAGCAGTGGACCCTGAACACTTGGCACATCACATCATGTAAGTTTTGTCAGCGCACCTCCACCCACGCAGCTCCCCACCAATCACACCATCCACCGTTAGTTACAAATGTGACTCTTACCGTAAGATCACGTTTTATTCCTTCACGTATGTACGTATATAATTTTATATATATTTAAATTCTGGCCTCTTTATTTATCATTTCTTTTTTCGTAAGTTTGATCCCTCGAATAAATCTTCTTCTATTATTTCATTCATTTTTACCATCAAAACCCCTAAAAATGCCCATCCATCACGATCCCCTCTTCCCCACTCTCACACTCAACTCCCCCAATCCCCTCCACCAAAATCTAATCCTCACACGTCCTCGCACCTCCGATGCAAAAACCTCCATCATCGCCTTTACCGATCCCGCCGTCTATCTTCATCTGACTGGTCCCCCGTTTCCCTACACACAGGAAGATTTCGATTCTTTCTTTAACGAGGTGCTAGATAAGAATTCTCGGGTTGCCGCTGCGGAACTATGGGATGCGAAGAGTGCGCAGGAAGATGGGTCACCGGTGCAGAAATGGGTGGGTGCCATTCCATTCCCAAGTATTAGGGAAGTGAGGGTGGGGGAGAAGGGAGAGAGGATAGAGGAGTTTATTGGGCAGATAAATATTAGGAGGAGGGGCTTTGTGACGACGGCAGATGAGGAAGAGAGGAAAATTTTGGCGAGAGAGAATGCGGATAGAAAGACGGGAGATCCAGGAATTGAGTGGGAGATTGGTTGTGTGTTGATGCTTTTTTTGTCCTTTCTTTTTGAAGCGAACTCTATGGAAAGGACAGGTGGTTATGCTTGATGGTGATAATCATGCAAGCTAGCCTATGAATTAGGATTTTATAAGTCTACGGCGAGAAATACTGCTCGACTCATAATCCCATGCCGCTGGTGTGGTCTATTTGGTAGTACCAAAGTCTTCTCACTGGGATCTACCTTCAAGCGAAAATTGTTGTCCAGTCATATCGATTCCATAGGTCCTTCACGATTCTTACTCCTACTCCTCTTCCACGACTTCCCCGACCCCACTAACCTTGTCTCCAGTCTGGCTCCTCCCCTCTCACCACGGCCGCACCATTATGCCTGCTGTTCTACAAACCCTCATTTCGGAACTTTTCATCCCATATATGAATTCGAATTTTGTGACGGGTGAATATTTAGAGTTCAACAAAGCGAGTAAAAGAGTTTTTGAAAAGTGTGGATTTGTAGATGAAGGGATTACGGATCGGGTGGAGGCGATCCACGAAGGGAAATGGAAAGCATTAAGCGTGTTGTTAGAAAACTTGAAGAGTAATGGGGACGACGAAATATGGGAGAAGGCTCAGAGAGAGGGTTGGTTGAGGGGAGAGAAGGTGGGAGTGGGAAGCTTGAGATGGAGCAGAGAGAGAAATGTGAAGGAGAAAGAAAACGGAAAGAGGGAGAATGCTAAGATCATTGAATAAAGCGATGCATGTAAAATTATGGACGAACACTTGAGGGAGAAGTAAATGAGGAATTTTCCGCAACTATAACATCATAACGCCCTACAATAGACACTCCAACAAAATTGCCCTCTTTGGCAGAGACATGTAAACAACGATATAACGCTAGAAAAAATAGACGTAGATTCAATTAGAACTACATAGCTGAATGATTTACGAAACGAGTATACTACAAAATCGCGATGGTCATCGGATTTAGAGACGTTCCAATAAAAAATGGAGAACAAAATTGCTGATCCAGACTACTAAACATGAATAGGCATTGTACACTGTAGGTAGCGAAGATTTCTTAATGAATTGTGTTCCTGCAGCAACTATAGTCAGAAGTGAGATAGTCACTAGATATCTGACAACCCTAATAAGCTGTGGTGAATCTTGTGTATCGCTTCGACGACATGTTTGTCTTATTAGATTTGAGCCCGACCGGTCATTTTCATGTTTGAATTATGAAATTGGACACAGCTAGATCGTGGTAGATTGCCAGGTCGTATATGAAAATCTGTAACCACTCAATTGGGCTCATAGCTTTGGTTCCAGGTGTGAGTCTTCGGTACAATATTGACGGTACTGGACCGGCGTACCAAACTGAATTTTTGAAAGCCATTAATGAATCGTTAATTATCATACAGCAATAATTGTGTAAAATGTGTAATCTGGCATCACATCTATCGCATCATCCAGAGAAGCCCATCCACTTTGGATGTCTACCACAAAGAATGTAACTTACAAATGCCAAGTTAGAGAAATGATGATCCTAATCCTCAAGAATTTGCTCGGGTATACCGTACAGGGTACATGTGAAATTCAACATGAGTTTTGCCTATTAGAAATATGATCTTCAATGAATGTGGGTAGTCTACATAATTTGGAATAGAGGTACCGCCACAAGAAACTCTGCAGCTTGTTCTAAACGACGTTAAAAATTTAAAAATTGGGGGCAAAATCCAGCGCCACACGCGCAATGAACAACGATTCACTAACAATCATTTTTCCGGTCATCTTCTAGCGTTCGATATAGCGCTGCGAGACTCTTTTGCATAGCGTAGCAACTAGAGAGCCGCAGCTAAAATGGCTTGAGACGCCCATTTCAGTTTCCGCGTAGATGGATGCACTATAATAGCGCCCGAAATCAAGAGGAGTGTTGGCCGAATGAAAGCAAATGAAATGAAAAAATGGCGGGAGTTGACCACGTGAAAACAGCGCTTAAACATGAAGATTGGGCTGACTCTGTCGAGGATTAGTATTCCTGAGGGATCAGTTGGCCGAGAGTCAAACCCCCAACAAACGTGATGATAATTGTCGGGGAACATGAGACGAAGAAAACTTTGGAACGAGTTGGATGGATAGCATAGAGTTAAAGAGTTATTGCTGTATAGTCTGTAGTACAGTAGTAGCAGCTTGATGAGTTTCATCTCAATTTCAAACCAATATAGGTATGTGCTTGATGAAGTTCGACAACATCTACTCAGGTCTTGGTTTCATCCCAATGATCCATCATTTGGAGTTGTAAAAGTTGTGAAATTTGTGAGTGAGTGCACTGTGCAAACGATTAACAGACGCTTCCCCTTCCCAGGTTTCCCAGGTTGATCTTGGTGAGAGAGAGAGAGAGAGAGAGCACTTCACGCTACCTAGGTAAGTAATGAAACATCAAAACAGGCTAAACCATTCTTGTGATAGATCCCAGATTATGTAGATGGGTTATCCATCAAAACCTCCTTTCTATTCACCATGTGACCAATTAAATGGTCGATCGATATCGGATTATGTAAGCTAGATACGCTACGATAAGAGTCTTCCAAGGAAATGCCTCAAGTCAGCCTCTCTCGACTCTCGAGCCTTTCTACCTACGAAGTAAGCACGAGTAAGACTACATACAGTCTACATTGTACAGACATACTTGGTCAAAAGTTCACAAGGGGGAATTGAAGCTTTTTCAATTTCCTGCGCCGTTCATCTTAATGCAAATGTGATGCAGAGGAGTGGATTCCTACCTGCCTGGATAACCTTGGAATGACTAGGGAATCACCAGGTAGGTAATCACTAGATACCGTAGCTGGGTAATAACTGCACAATGAAATAATGTTTACATATTGATTGACCAATCACAGAACGAAGAGAGGAAGAAATAAACACATGGAAATTATTTAATCATCATATTAATTGATGATTGGTTCAAATAAACATGGGATTTGACCCAAACCTTGATTTTTCCTTAATTCGGTGTATGTGCGCCGTGCCAAAGAGAAAAAAAATATGACCGAAGCTAAACTCCAAGATGATGGATTCACAATCTTCCTCCTTGCTCTTGCATACCGGTACAATTCCCAATATCACCTCAAGGCTCAATCAAGTCTTCAAGCAACCTAGCTTCCTTCAACCAAGGTTATCTATCTTTCATAAATTATAACCAACTTTCGTGGATTGTTATCCTCATCCTGTCGCTTTCCTCCTTTGGTTGTTGTTTATCCTACTTTATTGTTGACTATTGACTATTGACTATTGACTCTCGTTCTCATATACGACAAATATACTCTTGCCGATAACCAAACCGTACTTACTCAGTACATACTACTCAGTACATACTACTCAGTACTCATACTTGTGCCTCATTATCGCTCACTCGCTCCACCTCCACCTCCACCTCCTTACTACATAATTGTGGTTCTTTTCATAAAACGCAGGAACGATCTAGACTTCTTTCTACACTCCGAAATCCCCCCATTTCGATTTGAGACTCAGTCAACGTTTGGATCTCCACCTCAATCTTCATCCCGCACCCCAAACTAGTCGGTCGTTACCATCTCAACCTAAACATTAGCAGGGAGACGGAGAAGAGCCAGAGAAACCTTGGAACCTGTTGTGGATGCAATCCATCTAAAGAAAAGAAGCTTCTCCATCAGTTGCTATTTACCTCCCTCCTTTCAGCTTCCATATCCACATTTGACCAGCCTACAATCTTTCCTTCAACTACCTGGTCCGCAATATCCCCAATTTCAACGTCGCGTTGACTTTCGTTCTTTTACCACTCGCCATTTCGATCTTTGTACATACAATAATATCTACTATTTGCATCATGTTTTCAAAGTCCGTTGCCAGAGCTGGCTTGATTGCCAGTCTAGCTATCACTACCGTTAACGCCATTGCTACAATCTCTGTAACCGGCTCGAAATTCTTTACAAGTGATGGCGATCAATTCTTTATCAAAGGTAAGGTTTGTATGTATCTTATTCTTGGATCCTTGGCTGACAATATTTCTAGGCGTCGCATACCAGTTGACCGAAGCTGATCCTTTAATCGACACTAATCAATGCCAACTGGATGCCTCTTTGATGAAAACCTTGGGCGCAAACGCCATTCGCGTTTACCACGTTGACCCTTCTGGAGATCACTCTGGGTGTATGAGTGCTTTCGCAGATGCCGGTGTCTACCTTTTCTTGGATTTGGATACTTTCAATACTGCAATTACTCCAGTATGTTATACAGCATTATCTGGAAAAGAAAAAACACATGACTGACCTCTTTGACAGACTGATGCTACCTGGAACGAAAGTCAATATACCGCATTTAGTAAAGTAATGGATGCGTTCGCCAAATTCGATAACACCCTTGGATTCTTTGTGGGAAACGAGGTTATTGCTATGAACAACCAATCTTTGGCGGCACCATTTATCAAAGCCGCTGCTAGGGATATGAAGGCATACAGAAATTCGAAAGGATATCGTGAAATTCCCGTTGGCTACTCTGCGGCGGATATTGCGGAATTACGTCCTATGCTTCAAAATTATCTTGCTTGCGGCACCAACACTTCCGAGACTATCGATTTCTTCGGGTTGAATGCATACGAATGGTGCGGCGATAGTGATTTCTCTACTTCTGGTTACAAGACCCTCAATACTTACGCCGAGGGTTATAATATTCCTATTTTCTTCTCAGAGACCGGATGCAACACAGTGAAACCCAGAACATTCCAGGATCAAGCAGCAATTCTCGGTTCGGAGATGGACGATCAATGGTCTGGCGCAATTATTTACGAATGGATCGAAGAGGCCAACGATTATGGACTGATCAGTTATGGACCAACCGTTGCAGCTACTGCTGTCGCAACAAATGTTGCAGGTGGATTTTCTCGCGGCGGAACTCCAACCCCTGTTTCTCCAGATTTCGCCAATCTCCAAAGTCAGTGGGCAACTTTGACTCCAACTGGTGTTGCAAGCTCTGCTTATTCCCCAACTCTTACACCACCTGCTTGCCCTGCATCAACCTCCGGAGGCTGGTTGGTCGATGGTGATGTGAAATTGCCATCTATTGGCCAGAAAGAAGCAACTGGCACTGCCACAACAACTTCTGGATCAGCATCCTCTACCGGAAGCGCAACTGGATCAGCTGCATCTGCAACCTCAACAAAGGGTAGCGCATCCGGCGGTAAAGAAATTACTGGCATGAGTGTAGGATTGGCCGCAGTTATGTTCGGTTTCATGTACTGGCTATAGATTCTCGATACCCTTCAAAAAATCTTCTTTTCTCGGCCTTGATGGCTTGATATGTATAAACGATTATGATACGTGGAGGAAATCCTTTCACACTAATTCGGTACATATGCGCGTTATGATAAATGAAAGCGCGGCGTTGGATTTGCATTGTGTCATTATGGACGCAATAGGGTTACTTTCTTCTTCTGATATGGGATATGCAGGTTATTATATCCTGTGCATATAAAAAGCATGAATGAGTTGATCAATATCTGTTATTTTAGATCAACTTTAATAGATACTTAATAATGAAATTAAAAGACAAGAGTTTATTTATTGACAGATTGTGAAGGATGTGAATGTATTGGGATATGTGATGTCGACGAGTGTTTGTTGACAAGTGTTTGTTGACAAGTGAGGAACAAGTCAGGAGCAAGTTGTATATTATAAGGGAATGCAAGGATAGTGTGCACGTATCTTGAAGGGTCTTTGTGCTGGATGCAAGATTACAAGATTAACGTCTTTGAACAGATGGATGGGTGAATGGGAATTGTAGGTGGTTGCTGTGCAATTTTATTGTGGGATAGTGTCCAGATGGAATGGAATGGATGGGGAGGGTATGTGAAGGTGTGAAGAAGGTGGGAAGGTGAGTGTAAGATAAGACGGTAGAAGTATGGAAGTGTGGATGAGACGATGTAGGGTCATTCATTCACCGTGTACAATTGTCTTTTCATCTCTTATTAGTATAAGAATTCATTCGGTGTTGAGTGTATGACTAGATGGGATATCGAAGTTTGAGAAAGGGGTTGTTTAGGTATGCTTGGGCATCTATGAGGAGAAAGAGATGATTCCTGGATTTCTCGATTGAAGATCCAAAGATTCAAGGAAAATCTTGTAACTTGGATGAATTTATTGATCATATTCACTAATTTGATGTTTCTGCTTTTTTGTTTTTATTTCCTAAGGAAAGTACAGCATAGTGGTGTTGTGGTTGAAAGATATCTCTCCCATAGTATCTGACTGTAAACAGCGAAGACTCCTTAGTATTTAGCTCAGCCCCAGCTTTATCTTCTGATCTCTGTCATCTGCATTTATCCAACTATCATCATGCACTCTCATTTCTGTCCCCACAGCATTGGAATATCTCATTCTTGATATTCACTTTTGCTTGCGATTGAATTGCTGCATTTATTATAAAAAATTAAGCGAGAGATTTCCGAGGGAGGAAATAATGAGGAGCCAATAATTCGTTTTGTTCACCTTGAAGGATAGAAAATTCAACATCGTTAGATTTTCAATCTAGGAGGCTGGGAATTTTACAGGCGTGTGATCTTTCGATTGGTTGAGATATTGAATGCGCAGAATAGAAGGTGTGGATGATTGATGATATCTTGAGTTGAAAAAATTGTGAATAGGATTTCTGGTGATTTTTTTCTTTCTTGCAGCAACGATAAAAATAACAACACCATTCGAATTGCAATTTTCAATTGAACTGTGGCGAAAATGGTTTTGTTTCTATCTCCTGGTCTTAGACCACATTGGAAATTTGGCAAAGCAAATATTGGTAAGTCCCCTTATCGTGTCCCTAGCGAGTTGGTAGAGATGATGGAGATGGTGATGGTGTTTCTTTGGGAGCGATAATCTAGTGGTTCTCTTCCATGACAACAAGTATAATGATGGTACATTTTCCTTCTCAACCAACATTCTGGAGTATCCGGTCTATAGTGGTGAGAAAGATGGCACTTTAATGTCCTCCTTTCGACCAAGCTTGGAAGAACTAGACTCTCTTCTTTCTTGTCTATAACTTCTCCTTATGTAAAACTTTACTGACAATTACATTCTTTCCAGAGAAACAAGAACCATTCACTCCAAAGAAACCAGTTGGAAATTCTGGAAGAAAATTCCCTCTCCCACCTCATATCCTCCACCGCCTTAACCTCCACAACTCCTGCACTTCCTTCCCATCAAAACCATCTTCCGCACCATCACTTCTTCCATCATTGATGAAAGATTCTCCTACTTCTTTACATTCAGCGGATTCTGGTGTTTGGCCTGGTAAGAGACCAGCAGAAGGCACTGCAGACGAGAGACCAGGAAAGAAGGCGAAGTACGGCTTTACCAGCCATATTGATTTTGAAGAAAAGGCAACAGACGCAGACGACGAGGATTCAGATTTTGAGCCTGCGGATACACCGAGTGATAGAGAAGAGGAGGTTACAACGGTAGCTTCTCCAGTAACCGTCTCATCATCGATTGCAGAACCGGTTGTAGCTAGTCCGCTCGCTTCACCTTTCGATCCCCAATCCGAATCCGATTTCTCTGATACACCAAGCTCAAAGAGAAGAGCACTTACACCACCATCCCCGATTCCGAAACTTGTTGCCGAGACCGTCACAAAATCAATTTCAGCAACGGGTCGTTGGGATTTCACCCTTACGGCAAAAAAAGCAGGTTACGTTTATAACCCGAGAAAATCCATGACCGATCTGAGTGATCGCTTCGCTACGCCTTCAGACTCCGATAGTACCCTCGATACCGACGATAGCGAATCTGATTTTAATTCTACACCAAATCGCTCTTCGTCACCAGCGCGCGCACGTGCTTCTTCACCTTTACCTTTACCTTTACCTTTACCTTTACCTCAGTGGAAGTACCATCACAATCCTATTGATCGAAATAATCCAACCACTCCACCTTCCATCGGAACAAAAAGAAAGATGGAACAAGCATATGCCGAATGGCATCAAGGAGAAATGGACACGCCTAGAGCATCATCATGTTCTCCAATCACTTCACCAGCCGATACACCTCAATCCGTTGATTCCAACGAAGTTGAATTGGGAACTGCACAATATGATTCGCAGTCAGAACAAGAAAATATGGAACCTTCGCGCGCATCTTCATACTCATATCACACTATTTCCTCAACCTCAACTCAACTACCACACTCATCAACATCCACCTCCGAAACCACCGTATTTCCTGCCGATCTACCTTCTCCATCCGTCCCATGTCGTTTAGAGCCTCACTCACCTATTCTCGATCACCTCACTGCTCAATATATTGCACAGGGACCCCATCCACAAATTCCTCACGTTAATCACGCAGCTGTGAATCAAAGAAATGCGACTCATATATTGAACAAACATCAAGATGGTCGCGCGCCGTTTGTTCGAGCTGCGAGTCGAAGACTCCAGGCGGTGGTGGGTGTGAGAAACGATTTACCGTTTGATTTGCTGATGGGGACGGGAAAGCACGATGCGAGTAATTTGGTTGTGGGGAGGGATGGGACGTTGGTGGATTTGGGATTGAGGGATTTGGAGGGGAGAGAGGAAGTTAAGGGGGGAACTGGAGCTAGAGATGAAAGTGGAAATGGGGAGGATCTTGCGAGAGATGAGGGTGTTATGAGCGGAGAGGATATTGGAAATAGTCGGGAAAATATAAGTACGGATAGGGATATGAACACGAACGCAAACGCAAACGAAGCACATAATACAAATACCACGGCACAATACCTACAAGATATCCACGATTCCTTCAACACTCTTCGCTCTTCCTCTCGCACCCCATCTACTCATCATTTTTCTTCTCACCATCAGCAAGCAAAACCACCAAAAACCACTCCCAATCCGCCCCACGAATCCCTAGCACAAACACAAACACCCTTCTTCCCTCCCTCAGTCAATCCCTACACCGGTGAAGGACTCCGCGAATATCTTCTCTCCCGCGCTTCCATGACCGGTTCGGTGAAGAGAGAATGCAGAAGTATATCGTTTCATGATTTCACACCGGATGTACGAACGGGCGATTTTAGAAACCAATTGTTGGTGCATTTTGGTGTCGATGGGATTTCGAGTTGTGAGAGGGTTGATGTTGTGGAGTTGGGTTTGTAAGTTTTTTTCTTTCTTTTTTGGAGCTTTTGGTTTCGAAGTTTGGATTGTTGATTTTGTTGTTGTTTTGGAGAATTGGAAGTGAGGTGACGAGGAGTGCTGCAGTGCGGCGATGGTGGAGCTTTTGTTGCGGTTGTGTAACTTGAATTTTGACTCTTGACTCTTGGCTTGGGGAAGATGGGATGGCGAAGTTGCTGTCCTTTGATTTCTTCTTGTCAATTGTAATCCTTTTCTACTATACCCTTCTTTGAACTTTCATGCGGTCTTTTTGCTGTCATTCCTTTTCCTCACCTTATTACCCCTCCCCTTTCCTATCTGTCATCCGAATGAAAACAACAACAAAAATACCTTCTTACTATAACTAACGCCTCTCCACAGACCCGATATAACCGGTACCCTCCATCCCTGGCTCTCAATCTTCATTCAACGCCCCCTCGTGACCGCCACATCACCCTCCCCAGCCCTCCACTCCACCTCCACCTCCACCTCCACCACCACGCCTCCCAACTTCCCCTCCCCAACCCCCACAACCTGGCTCTGCATCGCCGTCCCCATCTCAAACATAACAACCTACCCCATCCAACCCGACACTACGATTCCTCCTTCTCTCCTCGAATCCACCTTCGCCCACAGCCAACACGGGCTCCCCACCAAAAAGATCGCCAAACGTCAAGACTACGATTTCTCCTTCCAAGGAACACCCATCTTCGAATTTTCCACCCGAGCACTCTTTCCCCAGCCCGAAACTCCCTTTCCGAACACTGCGCCCACTGCGGATTTTCTCTCCATCGAAGTGCCCCGTCCCTACGATCCCAGTGATCCTTATCTCGAGTTTCCGCCCCAGATATCCCGCAATCTGGTACTGCTCCGGCGGGAAGTAAGGAAGTATGCAAGGGCTGCGGGAGTGACGGGTGAGGAATTACATACGTATGGTGATATGATGGTGGATGTGAGTGGAGTGGATGTGAGCGAGGAGGTGTCTCCCAATGAGGGGATTTGGTGGTGTGAATTCTACAGAGGAATTACACGGGATAGGATTCGCTGGGAGAGGGTGAAGAGGTGTATGGGTCGGGGAAGATGTAGAGTTGTTTTGAGATGGCAGGATGTACCGGATGAGATGAAGAGATTAGGTGGTCGTTCTAGTTCTAATTCTAGTTCTGGGATCGGTTTGGGAGTGAGCAGAAAAATAAGTGAAGCGGAGAGAGTCAAGCAGGAGATGAGCAGGGAAAACATGGGAGGAATGGGGAAGAAGCGAAGAGAAAGAAAGAGTATGCAAACGAGCCATGCGAATACGAGTCCGAGTGTGGGATTGGGGGTTACGAGTACGAATATGGGGAGTCATTCACATTCACATTCGCATATGCGATCACGATCCGGCGAAGCATTGAGAGATAGTTTGCGTGCGAAAGCGATTGGGAATCGGATGAGTTTTAATGGAGATGCTTAGCGATATGGAAGAGTGGAATTGAGGAATTCGAGAGGGATGATGCAGAGATGAGTTGTGGATTACGTGAAATGAGAGATTGGTTTTAAGGGGAGGAGAGGCGTTTGCGAGTTACTTGCTTTTAAGTTCTTATGAGGCTAGTTTTCAATACTTGATATCTCATACCTACACACATGCTTATGTTACAAGCGCGTGGAAAAACTAGACATTAAGATGATTTTCTTCTCGCAATGAAATTCATGAAGAATACAACAGCAGCACAGAATAAGAAATACTTTCCATCTTTACTCTATGAAAATACGTAGCATGCGTTGATCTTCTCAAACAGTACATCTGAGAAACACCTAAACAATGAGTCTCCATCTCGATCTTAAAAAAAAAAAAGAACAACACATCACAAAGGGTACGAAGTCCGAAGTATAGGAGATCATGAGAAGAAGAGAAATACCATGATACTAGTCATTATGACTATCTTGATATTACACCCAGAAGCCAACTTCATAAACATATGCATGAATGCATTACTTTTCACATACATACCTAGATACCTAACCAAGAACTCAAGAATAGCTCATATTCCCTTTTGAAAGGAAATTAGACAGATGGAGAAATACCTTGCTATTAACAAATCCACCAAGATTGCTAATCATCATCTCTAATCTATAGATACCATGGTCTGGGTTTTCGCATACTTCATTCTATTCCAGTTCGTTCCTATGTACTACTTAACTCATGGCCGACTACCCCGTTTCTGAAATAGACTAGCAGGCAACATGAAGTTATAGTTGTCATTGCCTGTTAATAAATACCCCTCGCAACTCTATTGAAAGGTACCTGGGGACCTAGTGATGACTTGAGACTTTAAAATAGTGTTGCCATGATAGCAACACGCATCCATTGGATCATGGTCAGGAAAATGCAATCCGAGTCTCGAGCCAATTTGCGAAGGTTGAGTTATCTCGAGCATACCTACCCTCACAACTTGAATATCACTAAATCGACAATCTTAATCAACTCCAAGTCCTCGCTTTTAGACACATTCAACTTTAGGGGGGAAACAATACTAGAGTCGAGAGGAACGGGCAAAGAAACTAGATGCCCCACATCCTGTGAGAGAGATTGAATCACGCATCATTTTTATACTTAGTAACTTCGGAGTGATGCAGAAGCCCGTCCGATAATAAGCATCGAGCTTCACAAATTCGTCAACGTAAACCACGAAGCAAAAGATCTGTGGGAATATTCAGACATTTATAGTACATACAGATACAGGTACAGATTGAGCTTCCGTGCTACGCTACCTAAATGCATCATAACATTCGAGTCGTGATCGCCGATCCTACATTGAATAACCCATCCAACTCAAGCATAACTGAGACACCACAATCCAATCTCGGCCGCATTTGCAGAGGTGAGATTCGAGGCCGTCGGTCCTTCATTCCTTTTGACGCCTCATTCATGATACATATAAAATATACACTCGTCCCGTTTTAATTCTTTAATTCATCAACCATTACGACGAAGAACTTCCCCACCAACCACCTGTCATTCCACTCTTCATGGCCTTTAGTCCCTCTTCTTTGGCCCTCTCCTCCATCTCGGCTTCTTCCTTCAACCATTTTGCTCCATTCTCGCGAATTTCCTTATCAAATGCCTCGTAGTTCTTTTGTCCCCTTTCTCTCGCTAAATCTTGCAACATTTTCCCTTGAGCAAGCGCGTCCGCTAGACTCTGTTCGTTAGGATCTGTCACCATCATTCCACCTGGCTTGATACCCAAAGCACTTCCTAGTAGTCCCACACCACCCCCTCTCTTTCCATGCTTCTTTCTTTCTTCTGCAAGTTGTTCTTGGAACTTCTTTCTCGCAATTGCCTCACGTTTGGCAAATTCAGTAGGAATATGTGTTCCTTCAAATGATTTCAAGGCTTTGCGCACATCGGCGTATTGCATTGTAGGGATATATTCAAGGAAAGGAATTAAAGAAACAAGTTCTTTATCCTGGACGTCACCGAGCCATGGCTTAAGGATTATTGCGTTTTCTGGTTGCTTCTTTGCGTGGTGTGCTTTGGTATCGATTAATATGACCTTTGAGAGATCTCGGTTGAGGTATGAAAGATCCTATATCGAATTAGTAAGAGTCGTGAGAAAGATGACACGAAAACTTTACCTTAATATATTCTCCGTTTTCATAAAGTGTTGCCTCCCGGAAAAGTGGCCAAGTAACGATATGATATGGATCAAATTTTCGAATAACTGGCTCTGCTAAAGTAGATGGTTGAGTGGTGAAGATGACCAATTCGTAATATTGACTTAGATATCTCAAGAAATAATCCACACCAGGTCTTTTTGCCAGTCGCCAACCATGTTCTCTGGTCCATTCACTGTGAATTAAAAGATCCTCCATACTTAAAACTAAAGTATAAGGGCGCTCAAACATGGGACTTGGATCGGGGAGTAACTTGGTAAAAGCTGGCTCGGTGTAGTGACCAAGTTGATCTCCTGTTCGGGCCCTCACACGATTCCACATGCCGGTAAGTGACCATCCAGATGGAGCAGTTTCCGAATGTAGTCTTTCTTCTTCCTCCGTCTCCCAATTCCTTCCCATGTATACCGTACCAGTGATCGCAGATATGAAGAATGCAAGGTACATGTAGTTGGCCATTTGGTTTCTCTTTCTTTCCGAGGAAGAAACATATGCTGATGCTGGCAATTCCCCGCGACCTTTACCCCCACCACTAGGATCTTCTTCAGGATCTGCCGCTTCTGTAAGGTTCAATGGCGATGCCTTCGACTTTCTGTTTGCTAATTCGAAATCCAAAGTTGAAGGAATACCTTGGGTGAGATCTGGTAGAGGCTTATTTTCGAATTCAACTTGTGCGGGGTCGACAGCGATTGTCTCAAATTCATCTTGCTTGCCAGAGAAGTCTGGACTTTCACCTTTCCTTGCATCTGGGTTTGGTACGCCGGCACCTCCTCCCTCTGATTGAGGTACGGTATTCCTCTGTGGCGAAGCCCCCTTACTCACTTCATCCTGCGCCTTGGAGAAGTCTGGGTTACCAGATTTATCACTACTCAGTCCTGATTTTGGTGAAGTAAAAGCAGCTTGTGCCCCAGCTGGACCGGATGGTGTTGGCGTACCCGAAGGTCTATTATAATCTGTAGGCTTTCTAGGCTGGCGGCGATTGTTCGCCATCGACCGAGTCCATGACGTTGATGAGGTTATTCGGAAATTCGTCGAACTATTTCTAAGAGCTGGCGTTTGCAACGACCTTCCGATAGCTCTTGACAACATTATGAAGGAAAAGAATCAATATACACAGCTTACTTTAATAAAGAAAAGACTATATGCGAAATCGCATTGAATATTATTGAAGTTCTTGTCAGTAAAGAGAAACTTCAAAGATTCCTTTGGCCCAATAAAATAACCTGATTCCTTGAGTTTTCCCTTACAAGCAACAAAATACAATTTTCTACAATGATGCGGGCGGGAATTCTTAAAGCTAGTACCAATTAATACTAGCTTCAATTGGCAACAAGCTCCCCACCATAAAAGCATCAATTGATTTTGGGATTCTGATTTTCTTTTTTCTTTTTTCCTTAAAGTTGACACTCAGTGGACAGAAATTATACTCATCGCGCCTACAATAACCGTGGACGAAGAGTTGAACAATCTGAGGAGAACGAATATGACACTTTCAAGAATTGGATGTTAAGCCGGTGCTTGAAAGAGCACCGGCTACTCAATTACAACTTCAGTCCCGTGGTGTCCTAACATTCCATATCTCATTGAAACACTCATATGTTGAGGGTGTTTCCGGCCCCCCTCATAATCTATCCGAATATACTCGGCACAAGTCCCGATGGAAGGATTCCTCTTGTGTATAATTGAAATTTTAAATATTATTCCATCATTCATCATTTGAGATACCGCGCGATTTACCTTTTACTTGTGATTTTGAATCAGTATTTCCTTCCTAGCACGCGATTCTCTCCACTTGGTTCCATCATTCATCTCAAACTCAACAAACCTAACATCCAAAACTCTACAGTATATCCACGACAACTACAATCTCTCAATTGGTTATCCTACCTCTTTACTCCTACTTGAACAATAACAATAACAATAAATATGGCGCCGTCTATGAGACATCATACTTTGACACTACGGAATCGCCGCGCAATGGCAAGCGTGCCCGTATCTGGTTCCACAACACCAAATTCATCCACCTACCCCTCGGCGTACCCATCTGATGCTGAAGATATCACTCTCGCCGCTCGCAAACTTAAACAACCATTTCCGTTTCTCTCTCTGCCCTCCGAACTACGAACTAAGATTTATGCCCTCATATTCGCCCCTTTCCCCTCAATTATCGACCTCGACCCTACAACATTTTCCATCATTCATCGTCAAAAACTCCTCTCTCTATTCTCTGTCTGCAAACAAATTTACAATGAATCATCGCACCACTTCTTCTCAACCTATACTTTCCGTATCTTCCCTGTCCATCCAGGTCGCTATTTCAAGACAAAGAAACCATTACTCGCGCGTCTGCCAGCCCAATATCGCAATTCCATCACTACACTTGAACTTCGACTAGGTCCAGGCTGGAATAGTCCTCCCAGAGGTTGGATTGTATCACCTCTACTTGGACTTTCTGATTGCACATCCGTTCGTGTTCTAAAAATATTTGTGGAATGCGACCCCTCCGACGCTATATTCAAAGGGTTCAGAGCGGGCGATGGATTTTATGAAGGATTTTGCCAGGAACTATTAGAAGGAATATTTAGGGATGTAAAGGGAATACAAACTGTTGAATTTGATGCATTCCCTGGTGTGCAGAGGACTGGAGATATGATGAATGGATTACGAGAGGTAGTAGAAAGACATAAGAAAGTTGTGGGGTGGGGTCCTGAGAGGGGTTGGGGAGTAGAGAAGCCCGGAGAAGTTAAAGAAAGAATTTGGTTAGATGCTGTGCTTGTTCATGGAGTTGGAAGAGCGAGAGTTATTCCGGCGGGAGTGGAGGCTATTGTGGCCTTGGCCTGAGTTATATCATATCGTCTGACAGCACGGGGTCGCAACATGAGCGAAATGAAGACAGTAACAAGCGAACGATGACATTATAGCCGATTAGTCTTTAATGGAAATGGCGTGGAACAATCTGTAAATATTGACGAGCGATTAGGACATGGAATTTAGGAATGGCACGCAGGCATGTAACTCCTATTCATTTTGTATGTACACTTACTCAATGCCACTTGTTCAAGAATCTTTACTATCATGACAGATCTTTTTTCTTCTTCCCTGTGCCGGAATCTCCGGCCACTAACGATAACCACTTTGACTTCACGTCAACTACTAACCCATTCCAATACAACGACCACTACTAGTTGAAACAAATTATCAATATGTTGCATATCTCAATTGTCTTATGTCAAATACCTCATACAACTGACATATGGATACATCATACTGCTCATCTCTCCTGTTGCTTAATGGCGCAAATGATGCTAGGGTATTTCCCTCATTTTTATCACTACCAAAATTAGTAGCCTAGTGGTATACATAAAGGTACCCTGTGGCTTTAAGCTATGACGAGCTTGATACTCGATATCGGGGCAATACTGTGCTTCTCAGCTAGGCCATCATTGCGCTGATATCTTCTCTTTTGAACAAAAACTTCCGAATTTCAGCCACTTGTGGAATATTGTTTATGTTGTTGTTGACAGTCCTTTTTTCACAAATTGAAAATTAAAAAATTGTGTCGTGATACGTGCGATGCTGTTGGCTTAAAATGCTTCGGAATCGGCGGATTTTTGAGTTGAGTGGTGGTAAGAAGTGATGTTTTCGTCAGTGCCGGATTGGCTGGTAGAGAAACAATGATAGGGGGTGAAAGTGGTTTACTCGTATCAGAAGAGTCAATTTTCTGTTACTGGTGGCACTGATATGCGAGGATGGTGGAATGGGAAGCGTTGACAATTTCATCATCTTGACTGGCTGTCCGAAGTTTCAACCCAAGAATCAATCATTTTCCTCAGAAAGCGTCATTATCTTCATTGTGTATCAAGGCAATGTAAACGGATTATTTTTCTTGTTTTCACACGGCAACATGGCAACCATATCTTCATGCTGGTGGTCATGTATTCAGATGCAATGGTTCATGGGGCTTTGTGTTAAGAAGAAAGATCTCGTTGATGCTGGTCCTCCATAGCTGCCTTAAGTGCGTTGACTCCGGTTCCTTTGATACTGTAAAGGAGCTCCAATATGAAATTTTGGACTGTGTTCAGCCGGCATAGACACTGGACATCATGTTGTTCATTTGGATGGGAGTTTACATTTTGATCAAGTGGAGGGACGTAGTGGGATTCGAGAGAACGATTAAGAAGGCGAATGGTGAGAGTAGTACCGAGAACAAGGTGATGGTAGCCAGGTCACGTTGTTCCGAGATCGAAATTGTGCAGAGGTAGATCGTGGGGATCATGCACGGGGAACGAATATCAATGGTTTGCACACTTCATCATTGTTCTTCTTAACTCTTTGTACTTCTTTTGGGAGAAGATAAAAGGGTTGCAGAGAGGTATTCTATTCTATTCATTCATAATCTTTGTCTTTATACAGGCATTCGCAATTCAGGCAGTCCCTCCCCCCCCGCGAGTCTTCAATATCGAATGTTCAACATCTCCCCATCTTCCACATTCATAGTTAACACAGTACAAATCAGCGCTGTCTCACCAACCATCAGCCATCTTCACTTAACGCTCTGAAAATCAAGATATCTTCCAAGATCTAAACGACACGCACGCTCAGAGCTCATCCGCGGGTCAGGATGTTAAAAATCGAGCCTTCTGCATACATGGCCCTCCCGTACAGATCAACAACAATGTCTAATGACTCTACCAGGCGGGAGATACTGATCATGCCATCTGAAACTCATACCAAGATCAACATCGTCTACGAAAGTGCAGCTCGTATTATGCAGGGTGGCATTCTATCTTCAAAGCTTTCAGCTATCTCGATTTTTCTAGACACTTTGTACTGTGATTTTCAAAATACAGGTGGTGACGATCATTGATAGTGACGAGTCGGAAAAAGGCTAAAGGAAGGGGAGAAAACTCTAAATGGAGGGTAAAACTTTAAACGGAGGCAGAAGACTTTAAGATAGACAGGGACATACTAATGAGTGGTTCCGATTGGAAGTTTTAAGAATTAGAATTTCCAGAGTTATACTCTATATAATCTATAAATAAGAAAAGAAATTAATAGGGGGTTGAAAGGTACGATTGAATATTTATAATGCCGATTTCCATTTAATGTAGCTATCGAATTTCCTTAGCATAACTTCGCCGAGCGTACACTATCTGAGAGACACAGACAATTGCGAAGCGATTCAAATTCCTGATAGAGAGGTTTGAATGTACCACCTGCTTGATGTTAAGCACGCAGGAACCATTGCGAAATAAACGCGGGAAGTAGAATTTGATTGGCCCAGAAGGAAAAGCAGACGCCAAGCATGTTTCAAGGCTCTGAGTCAGGGTAAGTGTATTCTATTGAATTAGTAGAGGCTTTCCCCAAGCTTTCAACACGGTTAGCCATCTAGGTCTACATGAGGTTTCGTTTACCAAAAAGTATTCTTCCTATCAACAATGCTGTATGAAATTTAGAAAAAAACGCCATGGAGATCATCCAACAGATTTACCGTTCTGAATCTTGAAGCTAAGTATCATTTCTAGAATCTTCGACTCGAGCTCTCCTCGTTCGTGACAAAAAAGCTGTAAAGAAACACAATGACGTAGTTGTCACTTTTTGTGGCTAGTAACCAACATTGTCATGTGAATCTAAAGTAAGAGTTATGAATTCGCAGTGACACAGTGTGGTGTGATAATTTCTGAAAAGCGGAGTCAACGTCAGAAAATGATTCCAAACATTTGATTGCTTGAACGTGAGCAACAGTGAAACAAGAAAGTCAGATGATGTATGCGGTAAAGCCGCGGAACTCAAAGCCTAAACCTGAAATCTAGCTCAGCCCTATATGCATAATTCATGTACAACTTGCTATGATACTAAGAAGAACCATGGACAAGCATCGTACATTTGCTTTCTTCACAACATCATCATTGTAATCGTTATCGCGTGAGTGGGGAAGAAGGAAGTTTGAATCATGTATGTTCGTTACTCGACGCCACGCCCATGACGTCTCCAGATAAGGAAACATATCATGGCAAACGGTGATCGCTTGCGTTTGTAATATGATGATAAGATTTTGCAACCATGAAGATGTCGTCTTGCCACAAGAATGATGTACGCAATCAGAATGCAGATGAGCAAGCAAATGCAACGATAAGCATGTAGAGTGTGAGCGCAGGAACAAGGTTCGGAAATATAATCAAATCGATCTATGGGGTGCATGTGAAGAGGCGCTGTTCTTGCGAGACTTCTGTTGATTGGTTGTTTCTATACTTGGCCGAGCTATAATGAGACGGACCGAAGGGACTTCCCCAAGGAGGAATTTGACTCTACCAAACAGAGAAATAGTAACGATAATGCGTGAAAAAGTTTGATCTTAGGCAATGAGAGACCACCCTGACATTAATGAATCGCCGTTTCAAAAGCCGTATGTTTCACGACACAAATTTCGATAGTTGATGGGAGTGTTATACTAACCTGATCTCGCGCGATCTGCGGGATATATGTCTAATGTATCGTATACTTCATGAGGCTGACCACCATCGGATATTGTCAGAGGCTATGTATTATTGGCAGCTGAAATTGATTCAACTTCCCCAGAAAGAAAAGATCGATATATTGCGGCGGGGTAAGCGATGAGGTTTTATTGCCCGAATGGAGGGCGAGGAGGGGTAGCAAGGAAGTTGATTTGACCCGATGGAGACTTTGTTGATGTATCTGTTGCCGAGTTGAATATAGTGGCGGAGTACATATTGACTTCTCCGTACAAATTAATGATTTGTATTTCGACTTCAGCGGCTTTTGCGGTTAGAGAAGGTGGTCTGAAGGTCACAATGTATTGTCACAATATCAGCTGTCTCTGCTGAGTCCCCTGTTTCCCAACTTCGAGGCAGGTCGGTTAATTGATTCGGAGGTGTGATCCGAGAATCATGTCTTTGAGTATCAGGTAGGCCTCTCGGATTCTTATCATCACATGGTGTCTTGATGTTGTTTGGTTTGTGCTTCGAACAAAGTATCCAAACGTTTCCTGGTGTGCTGCTGGTGGTTTTACTAAGCCGAGTCATGTTCTAACCTTCGGCGGTGCTTTTCCGTCGCACAACCTCTAAGCCTCTACCAGAACCTGAACCGACAGCGCGTCGTGACAAGTCAGGAACATGATATTCCACCAATTTAGCTTTTGAGTAAACGCATCTCCATGATTATTTCCAAGTCAGGTCACACCCACATTGAAAAATCCAGGTTGTGTCGGGGAATTGCCTAGATTTTCGGTCGGACCTAAACTTTAAAGATTATCATCTGGCCTTCTCGATCCGGCGAGTAAGAGTCCGGTGAACTCCCCGATATGAGAGGCATCATCGGATACCTAGTTTTGTATGTATGATATGTATGATATGTATATATATAAGTGTTGGGTATTGCCGCATTCTAACTATCTTGCTGTTGATGTCTAATGTTGCACATTTGAATCAACAACTCAACACTGCCAACACATCTCCAACTAAAGAAAAAAAAACCATACCAGCCTTATCCCTAACTTATATCTACTGCCTACTGCAAATAAGTTTACCCAGGTCAATACCAAAACCCGAGACTTACTTTACATCTTTAATAATTCATCATGTCGGGCAACGATGCAAGCAATACATCTGCTGAAGTCAAACAATACTTCTTGATCACAAACGTTACAGCATTCGATGATGAAAACACCAAGTTCGATCTTCAAGCTGAAGCATGGAGGCTACCATATAGTATCGACGATTCCGATTTGACTTTCGACGGGACACCATTGAATATGTTGTATGAAGAGAATCGATATATGGCAGAAGAACATGTGACCAATTACTCACATGATTACAAATCACATGACGTCAGTTTTCTCCCTCTTCTGAGGTTCATCGGATTCTTCACAAGCCCAGGCTAACATTTATGTAGAGATCTACAGAACGCGGAAGAAGTCGCCAGAAGGAGTAGATTGATTTTACAGTAACAGCTACAAGCTTCATCGTTTTAAAGAATGCTGTGAAATCTTCCCCGCTACAACAACTTTCTACTCGAAATAGAACACGATGGACGCAAAAGAATTTTACGATGTTGCTTCAATATCTATCTTATTTACTGAAGAGATTCTCATGAAATGCAGATAGATTGCAGCTTTTCGGATACAACTCGAATCCTCGAGGAGGCAAATATTGGCATTCACATTCGTGATTGGGGTGCATGAGGGCTTTCTAGCTCCGCTTGGGGCAGTGAAAGAAATCTTCTTGGATTCAGAGAAAGTTTTGGATTCATGTTATGAATGAGAATGACTAGTTGGCTCGCCTTTCTGGAAAGCACGCTGGAAGAAACTCCAATTGAGATCCCATCATCAATCGTTATCTGCCCGATGAGCTTGAGATAGCCGACATCAAATCAACGCATTCGTAGGACAATTTCTTGGAACCGTCGTACCTTTTGCAAATACCATCGAAGATAAAAGAGCAAGACAGGCATTCTGGTTTAGCAGAAGAGATATGTCGAACACCGATTGATCGCCTCGACACTCACCGGCCCTCGTTGCATTTCTTTCACCAATAGCACCAACTCTAATCGCTCACAAGCGAGAGCATCGCGTTACACTCACAAGAACTTCGGATGTTAACTTCGAATATCGGTTAAGTATCTTCATACACTTGCCTTCTGCCTTAGGAGTTGAAGGCATACAGTTGGAGGAGTGTGAATGGAGGAAAGGTATTACGTGAAGAGTTATGAGGCATGTTTGGAAAGATGACATCTGGTACCTGGATTTCGAAATATTGTCTTCGAAGCTATGTATGATAGATCATGATTGTTTGCCATTGTGATACCCGCTGGAAAGGGTAGAGAGTTATCACGGCGTAATAGGTCATAAAGGAAGGATGTTTCATGAAAACATTAACAGCATTGCAACCTTAATTATGAATCACCATGTGCCTGTGAATACGTGTATTTATGGATGAACACTCTCTTAGATTCCAAGAAATGCTGCAATACAATATTTAAACTGAGCATACATTCATTTTACGCTTAACGACTACATAGGTATCTAATTTTTGGCCCCCTCGTCTCTACTTCACTTCAATCTGCTTTCCACAGTCTTCCAGTTGATTACATCCCAAATAGCACTGAAGTACTCTGCCTTTCTGTTTTGATATTGAAGATAGTAGGCATGCTCCCAGGCATCAATACCCAATAATGGAGTGTACTTGCCAACGACTGGATCCTGGTTTGCATATGTTCTAATTTGGACTTGGCCAGTCTCGTTGTCCTTGACTAACCACGCCCATCCACTTCCTTGGATGCCTGCCAAAGCTGCGTTGAATTTTGTCTTGAAAGATGAAAAATCGTTGTAGCTGGTCTCAATGGCAGTCTGTAGAAACTCTTGTTAGCCGATACTCTTCGACTCCAATAAAGGTACAAATTTCCATGGCGAATATCCATTCATACCTTCAAAGCACCTGTGGGCTCTCCACCACCACCATTCTTGCTTGGTGCCAAGTTCTCCCAGAACAAACTATGGTTCACATGTCCACCTCCGTGGAAGTTGATGAGGGGTTGTAATGCGATGGCAGCAGCAATATCTCCCTTGGATGTAGCGGCCTCGACTTGCTCGCTCGCAGCGTTGAAGCTGTTAACGTAGGTTTGATGATGGTTCTTGTGATGAAGCTCCATGATCTTGCCGGAGATCGAGGGTTCGAGAGCACCATAGTCGTCTGTAATCAAAGTTAGGATATGTAATGAGATATTGGAGCTGTTTAATCTAGATATGGAAGAAACTGACATGGAAGATCTGGAAGAGTAACCTTTCCACGAATGAAGCTTGTGCTTGCCATTGAGGCAGCTCGTTTGGAAGAGCTGGCTCTAAGAGCAGCACGAGCTGCAGTAGATGTGCGAAGAAGTGTGGTAGACATTTTGAATCTATTTGAACGCTTGAAGTTGGTGTTGTTTCAATTATTGATGTGGCTTTCAGATGTCAATCGGAAGTCTTTCAAAGAGGGGAAGCTCCGGAAGTAAATATTTGGAGCTCCAACGTCATTATGTCATTGCCCGATTACATAAGCGATGAGAGCGCAAATAATGGCACGGAGCCGATATCAAAGTTCATCATCGCGTACTCTTTCACTTAAGATACCTTTGAATAGGTACTAGAAGTTATAATATTATGCAGATTCGGTGAAGTCTAAGCTACTCGCCGCAGATCTGTGGCTTTTAAAAATGTCCTACTACGATATTGACGCGATCCTCACCGACGCTCAAGTATTTACCCCTCCTTCCAATCAGATTCATTGTATTAATATATGTCAGAAAATCCCATGCACATTTGAGCTTGATGTTCCCTCTTTAGGATATCTCGACAACAACGCTGCTACCCCTCTGAAGAAACACACACGCGTCGATCTTCCTCTATGGCTCGCCGAATTACTTGCCGTTTCTTCCTCTCCATCTTCCCAAAAGTCTCTCGTTACCCTTGATCTACCTGCTTGTCTTGCGCCGCGCGTTCTCAATGCATTGAAAGCCGACCCTAAGAGTGTCGACTTACGCAATTTGGCACAGAATTTCTATGGATTGGGCGTGCGAGTCTTGGAGTTATTTGAGGAGGAAGAGGTTTGCGATGTATTGATGGAGAGTTGGAGGGCAAGAGCTGGCGAAATCAGCGATCATGCTGGAAGTGGAAGTGTAGGACAGAGCAATGGCAGAGGCGGAGGAGAAGGCGTGGAGTTCTTGAGGGGTTTGGACGAGGCGGAACGCGGATTATTTAAGGCAGCACACGAGGGATCCAAGGCAATGGGAAAATGGATGGGCGAGGTGAAAAAGGGGTAGTTCAAAGCGAGAAAAATGCCGTCGAGCAAACGATGGTGGGTTCATCAATCCGATTCATCTGCCACGGAGAGATGAACACCCGCGGCAAAACACTACGGCGTTATGTGGGCGGGAAGCTTTGGCTATTTGCGATACCCAATACATGATTGATTTGACGGAAATCATAAATCATGGGAGTGATTAGTTCTTTTTGAATTCATTAATGATCTGAAATTGATCGATTTTACGATTACGACCGAGCGAACTGATAAAACTTTTTTACATTTTTTGTGAGATCGAAGATGGCTGCCCCGCCCAACGAATGGTACGACTCAAATCCATCAGACGCAAGAATGTTGGATAGTATTATAAGTTAGAAGGGATTCTGTTGTTGATCCTGGTGTACAGGCCTTGTCAAGTCAGGCCAAAGATGAGAATACAAAGACAACATTCACAACTACTGTCTAAAAATGCGCAATCGGTTATTCACAATTGCTCGGTTGGACGATTGCGTCCCATTCATTGAGTTACTACTTGCCGTCCGTGAGGCACTGGTTGTGCAGGTACAGATCCTCCTCAGAGTATATGCGTACCATGCTTGCACATCCCCCATGTGGTGATTGACCTCATATTCGTCGTACATCGAAGGTTGCCGCTGTATTCGCAACCGATCCTGGGGGAGATTTGCTCGTCCTGGGAATCTCAGCGCATTGTTACCTAAAACCCCGGTACCAAGCTCGAACCACGAGAACAGAGTTTCAATGAGGAATCCTATTCCGGGGTAACTTACAACGTAGTAATATCGAAAAGCCAAATATGTCTACCTCCCTGGAGGCTAAAATTTTGTGTAACTCACGTGCGACATGGGTCTCCTGCAGCTTACTCATTCAGCTAAAGCCCTTACTCACTGATGCGAGCACCAATAATCATGCAATCCTGAAGTTTGGGCATCGTATATGTTGTGTACATCTGAACCTTTGAATGAATTCAAAAGGCCATGTCGAATCCAGAACCTTGCTTACAAATTTGATGGCGGTAAATCACGCCAGTTTGAATTAAAAATCACCAACACGCTTGGCAGTATCTAGATAGATGATCCGCTTATTTGGAATTGCTATGGGCGTTGTGATTGTGGTGCAAGCTCTTGTATTATAGTATGAGGAGACTAATCAAACGTGGTAGCAAAGAAGAAGAGTTTCAAATGATGTATTACAAAATTATGTGCAGTGAACTAATGGCGGTGGCTTCAACTTGAATAATTCTATCAAATAAACTCGCTGCGCCATCTCCTCTGATACCTCGTTGATCGGAAAAGCCGTACTGAGGCAGGTCCTGCGGTCAAACATTCACTGGCTGCATATTAAGTGAGCGTCAGTTATGCTTTGTTTTCAGATAACATTCACTTATATTCTGAAGAAGGAGCAGTGGGCTGGCTTATGACTTTTTAATCTCCGTGTGCTTATAAAAACTCCCCATCAACAACCTCCTAATACAACGGTTTGCAAATATTCTTCCCAACAAAACTCTTTACTACATGACCAAACCTAAAACAACTTCAACTTCAACCGTAATATAACATCAAAATGGATGATCTTATCACTCACGTGAAGGCCGCCACTGCAAATTCCGATGAAGCAGGACGAAAGAAGATGATCGACGATCTTAGAGATCTTTCTATTGAATTGGAAACTCCATGGGACTCTATGCAGCGTATCATGTATCTGGTATGTGCTATTTTGATTCGCATCACGACAATAAACGTGACTTCTGCTAACTCAGATTGTGTTAGCAATTTCAATTGACAGGCGCTCAGATTGGTTGTGATATGAAGCTCTTTGAGATCATGGTGGCGAAGAAGGAACCAATGACTGTTGAGCAGCTAGCAAAAGAGACCGAGTCAGATCCAGCCTTCTTAGGTGAGTTCGATCCTCAGCTTCAAATTTGACACCCTCTCACGGTATAACTAGTTCGCTTACTCCGATATCTTGCTTCTGTACGGATGGTTCGAGAGACTGGCAAAAACACTTTTGAAGCCAGCAAGGTCACCGAAGCTTTGGCTCAAAAGGGCTACAAAGGTGGTATTGGCCACTAGTCAGTGATCCCTTCTCACGGTCTCGAAGACTTTGTGGTACATCCATCGCTGACTATGAAAATCACAGCTTTCATTCACTTGGCCCTACACTGCAAGCTACGCCTGACTATTTGGCTGAGAGAAAATATCGGAACATCACAGATAACACTTGTGCACCTGCTCAGATCGCCTTCAAAACTGAAGTCCCGTACTTCTACTGGATTCAAGAACAGCCTAGACTAATCAACTACTTTGCCGATTTTATGGTAGGTCAACGTGGCGAGATGCCAACCTGGCTCTCCAAGTACCCAATCGAAGAGGAGACCAGGGACTGGAATCCTAAGGAGCCTGTCTTTGTTGATGTCGGCGGTGGTTTTGGACATAAGTGTTTGGAGTTGAGAATGGAGAAGCCAAGCGTCCCTGGTCGCGTGATTTTACAGGAGCTTGATCATTCTATTAAGAATGCACTTCCAATGAAGGATGTGGAACTCGAAGTTCATGACTTTTTCACGCCTCAAACAGTCATAGGTCTGGTACAATCCTACTAGTGGAACTGTGGTTGCATACTGACTAGCATTTCAGGTGCAAAATACTACTATATGCGCAACATCCTTCACGACTACCCCGATGAGAAGTGTAGTATCATTTTGAAGCATTTGAAAGATGCAATGGGTCCAGATTCGGCCATTTTAATTGACGAGATGGTTATCCCCGAGACGGGCGCTCACTGGCATGCAGCCCAGATTGACTTGGTGATGATGACTGTCCTCGCATCAACTGAGCGAACCGAAGGAGAATGGCATGCACTTTTAGCATCTGTTGGTCTTGAAGCAAAGAAAATCGTCAAATACACCGCTTCTCTCGGAGATAGCATAATCGTGGCGGTTCCAGTCTGATTCCGAGGCTCTCGGGTTCGTAAAGCATGGTCCAGATCCAGGGTTAATAATTAAAGGTGTGATGAGAATATGGCTAGGCCTCAAATTACCTAAGCGGAGTCCATTGCAATTTGCAATTGACTCTTTATTAATTTTGAGATTGCATTCGTCCAAAATCTTCACAATAGTCTAGTAGATATATTATCTCCGCGAATTTCACTCAATACGTCTCCACTTATCGTTCGTGCGCTAAAGACTGACAATGTGCTATTATCGCTAGTCAACGTGTACCATCTAAGACATTCATAATGTGCATGGCAATAACTATTACATGTCCCAGGAATCTGGTTATCAGACTTCTTGAACAATCTGGCATCTGCTAAGCGGGGTATTCGCAACCTTTACCACGACCCTGGCTCACCTGGCCTGTCATGTTCTAACGGTGGCCCACGTCCAAGCTTCCATGCACGAATTCCAATTGATGGGTAGTAACGAATACGGTAAGTGGCAGTAAGCACTGACCACGGGCTTCTCGGTGATCTAAAGTTGTAGCGCCCGCGAGGTTATATATTCCACAGTGTGATGTGATACTATCTAAAAGCCGCGCTATATGCGAAAGCTCCCATCTATGATATTCTGGTCAATTTGGATACTGGGAAGCCCCCACGTTTGAATCTTGATTTGGTCCTTATCAGGGAGCCCTGCTGCATGGGTAGGCAGAAGCGATGCATGGCAACAGGGGATTTTCACACGACGTTGGCTGAGTTGTACAAGTTCTATTTTAGGGTTACATTATTGTCGGAATTTCATGCTTTCTATGGACATGGAGCAAAGCCCTAACAAGATCTTTTCACAATCTTGTGCAATTGCCAGTGATACTGCAGCATTTACAAAGTATTGAACAGTCAGATCGAGCTCTGACAGTGAGAAATAATTTCCACAGCGTTACGACGGTCACTAAATTTCTGGGAATATATTTTTCTGCTCGAGTACGTAATCCGATCAGGACTTTGGAAGGAATCTAGGATACTAAACACAGGACAATCCCCGTGCTTGATATCACTCTTCGGCTTCGGCTTCTTCTTTCGGACTTTCAGTCACACATTATCTATACTTGCTTTTGTAGCTCCTTTACGTAGATTTACGAGCAATCACCTATCAAATCAATCGTGCGCATTTCAGTCTTATTGACAATGTAACAACGGCTGAGCTGAGGCGCACGGAATATTCCAGTACAAAGTCAATTGTATCATGGGCCCGAGTCTAAGCAGTAAGTTTGTATTTTTCCCTCCAAGAGAGAACAGCGCGAAGAACAACGCCTGCAGAGAGTTAGTAGACATGGCACGTCGTGTATCTGTTTTGCCAGCACAGCAATTGCAACCCCCCCTTTCAATTCGCTTGTTGCCGCGGTTCTAGGCTCCAGGAATGGAATTTATCAGTGAAAGTGATTGTGCGAAAATCCTTCAAATGATTTTCTTATACCCTTGTCGCCATGCGACGCCAGTACAAAAGTGGATCGGCTGTAGGTCATGGCAGTGCTTACGATAGGATATCGATATCATTGCGGGGGTTCAACCAAGAAAGATGCTCAAGTAGCTTAATAGATCATCTATCCCAATAGCATCGAACATGAATCATGATCGTTGGGTTTGCTTTTGATTAAGTTTGTTTGATCTGCTGTTTGACGCTCAATTGCTTCATATCGAGTTTATATCAGCCTATACATCAAGTTCATCAATATGCACGGCACCGAAGTACCAGCAGGTGGAGACGTTGACAGGGGAATAACGGCTTCTATAATCGTCTTGACCCAGATTGCGTTTGCTTTCGTGATTGTCATGGCAAGATTTTATGCCAGAATCATGATCAAAGGTCTTGGGAGGGATGATTGGGTCATGCTTGTTACTTTGGTACGTCTATCTCTTTCAAGATTCATATGATATTGTTCTAACTTCATGATAGTGTCTTTTTATAACATATGGCGGTCTCATGACATACGAATGGAAACTTGGAGGATTTCGACATCTATATTACCTCAACTTGGAGCAAACAATGAAAGCCGCAAAGTTCAACTACATAATCCAAGTGGTCATTGTCTTCGCCTTCATCACTGGCAAAGCTGCAGTGGGATTTCTTGTTCTTCGAATCATGAGTGGTGATACGACCGCTTGGCGCAAATGGCTTGTCTATGGAGCTATGGCGCTCACGGCTCTCATCAACGGACTAGATTGTATCTTCACCTACGTGCAATGCAGCCCGCCTGAAGCATTATGGGACTCTAGTATTCCACACACGTGCTGGGATCCTAGTGTTCAATCTCGGTTCGCCATGTTTACTGCAGGTTCGTATTACAATGTCTATGTTGACGAAATGAGACTTACTAACGAGGTGTATTAGCTGAGAATTGCCTCGCAGATATTGTACTCGCCCTTGTACCTGCTAGTGTCATCATGAATCTCAACATGGATATGAAGAAGCGTGTCAACTTGACCATACTTTTGGGCCTTGGACTTATGTAAGTTACTCTCCCTCATTCGAGAGAATAAGCACTAACAATACCAGTGCTGCTGTTTGCTGTATCGTTAAGACAACATTTTTGGGATCACTTAACGCCCACTCCGATCTTACTTGTAAGCTTACCAAATACATGTCGGCAGTAACACAACAAAGCACTAACAGCAACTAGGGAAAACTTACGATTTGCTCGTATGGAGCGGTTCGGAACTTTTCGTTATTATCGTTTGTGGAAGTATTCCTCCACTCAAACCATACTGGGATCGATTTGTCAGCGGCAAGAATCCTGGATCATACGGCAGTCCCGACAACAGTTACAACAGTCATCTCAGCTCATTGCCAACCCGAAGGAAAAGTCGAATGTCTTATATGAAACAAAGCTTGGATACGAACAGTTCGACTGATCATGTTTATCCACAACCTATGCATGGTGATAAATATATACAGCGGACAACAGACATAGAAATCCACAGTATGAGGATCCGTACAGAGGATTCTATGGCATAGATGTGGAGATGTAGCACACGAAAGAAAATAGCGTTACGAATTGCATTCTCGATTGTATTATCACCTGTTTATTTTGATTATTGGCGTTACTATTGAGAACGGAGTTCACGGCGTACGCCAGGTGTTGGCGTATTTAATGCGGGTGGGGTTGGGCTAAGATACCATTGTTTTGAAAGATACCAGCGCTTTTTCGGAAGCCATCCAGAGTGGATGGGTTATGTTTATTATTTAATATTTCACCGAAATATCATCACTTGAAACAGTCTCACATATTGGGCATCTTCAAAGAAGTTAATGTTTCAAAGATTGTTCTACTACAAGCATCATTCTGTCTTCTTTTTACATCGTTGCACTCTCCGTCTCTCAGGTCCCAGCCAATTCTTCAAAGCACTTTTGCTTTCTCCGAGACTTGACAAACTTTGTAAAGCAGACATTCTAGTCAATAGTCTAGCATCAGTCCAGATTTCACAGATGGTCACCATGGACCCTTGCACGAGTATTTCTCTGATTTTTTCGTCGAACTCCTCTCGGTTGTTGAAAACAGTGAATGGATAGAAAATCCATTCTTTCAAACTCCAAATTTGTTGAGATGTTTCGCGAGGTGAGTCATGGGCATGAGAAGGTAGTGGTGTAGACTTTTGGCTAGTGGAAAGTATTCCGAATGGATCGATAGACGTGAGTCCTAGGTACGGCATCTTCGAAATTACGGGGTAGCTGCAGGCTTACAGTGCGATGCTTCGAAAGTGATTGTGTGGGATGTTGGTTGTATCATCTTGGTAATAGGGATTTTGCTATCTAAATAGTCTGGATTGATGAAAGAATGTAGATGCAATGTTTCAAAATCTAGAGTGTGTTCAGAATTTCATTGTTCTGTTGCAATATTCCATGTCTTGCCCAGGTGTGTTCCATACGAAAGTGCCTTCTAGAATCAGCTAGGCAATTTGTAACGAGCCTGTTATGATGGTCATATTGTAATCTATACGAGTATGTAAAATCCAAGACTCAGGTGAATACTATCGTCAGTTCAAGTGAATAACTTCATTAGCTTGTATCTCTCAGGTAACCGAACTCTTGGCCCATCTCTTTACCTGCTTCATCAACCTCAGCTTAAATCCCAAAACGAATACAACAGCATTCTCACCATCTCCTTTTTTTCGACATCTGTCTCCCTTTCAGGTATCATATCTTCATCTCCAACCTTAGCAGTAGCTTACTTGAAAAGATCTTACCGAATACGATGTCCAATATCGATGGAATGACGGATGGGGCATTCAATAGCTCAATTTCCGGTGTTGAAAAGTTGGCCATTTGCAATTTACAACAAGAAACCAATAGATCTGATTCGTGCACCAACGTGTGCAAGACAACTCCTGCGACCGATATACAACAAGGAGCTAGCACACTCGAATCTTTCCCTGAAAGTGAGACCACCCGCTCGGACACGATATCAAGAGAAGCATCTTGTACATTCGAACCATTTCCTCGGCTCGCCATCGAATTAAGGCTGGTGATATGGGGTCTAGCTTGTTCGCAGGAGCGTCTACTCGAAATAACTACTCATCCAACGGATATATCTTTCGATTTGGGTGCTCCAACACCACCAGTCTTGTTTGTCAACCACGAAAGCCGTCAAGAGGCTGAAAAATATTACAAGAAAATACGTCTACATTTTGGTAATTTGGATTCCGCTCAAGTTTGCTTGTTTCGAACTTTCTTCGTCAATCCCGATAAAGACATCTTTGACTGCAGTAGCATGAAGTTTCAGAGAAATTATTGGCGACTTAATAATAACCTTCTGTATTACTATGATATTAATTCTGGACGTTCAATTGGAACTTGGATGTGTAACCTATTCAATGAACTTAGAACCGTCAAGTATTCACATTGGAATCGTCACGATGGATTAGAATTCTTGGGCCACCGTGCGGTCACGTTGATGCCGAATCTAAAGGAATTCATCCTCAAACCTACAACAGATATTCCTCGAAATATCTGGGGAGCATTTGGTTGTAGGAAGGAACAGAACGTTTGTATCGAAGAAATGCAGAGTGCACTTCAAAAGGAGAACGAAAAGAACCCTGCTTGTCCAACGCCTGTGGTAAAATTCGAGATATCGGTTCAGACTCCGTCATCCGCCTTATAACGGCCGATGCTACCTTTAAATTCAGTCTCTCAATGATAAAACTCAGGGAGGCTTTGGGTGGAGTTTGATGCCATCGAAAAATCTCATCGAATACGAGAAGAGGACAAGAACTTTGGAACTATAAGATACAGAACGAACGCGAAAGAAATCTTTTCCCTGGGAACCAATGCTACGGTAGCTCTAAAAAAGACCTCAACATCGCCATAGTGTCTACCAATCATTCTACCAGCAATTTGCAGGTCGGCTTTACTTTCCAACAGAGTCGGCAATTTTTGAATGTTGTCTCGGATGGTAGAATAGAAACACTTCTTACATAGTGAGCTTAATAACTCCTAGATCACATCAAATCAAATCAATCCGATCAACAATACCAATCTATCTGGTTTTGCTTCGCACATGTGCTTAGTGGGACAGTATGACGCGGTGAACATTCAACTTCGAAATTAGACAAGATGATAGGCAGCACATGTCTAATTTTTATCTGCTCTCGCCTGTGACGATGTCCTTTCATGGTTGTTGTTCAATGAATCTGACATTCTAATTAGAATACCTTTCCAAAACCATAATTAAGACTTTTTCCAAGCAGATTTATCACTAGACTGACTGCCATTAGCAATATATAGATTCCCAATCAGTGAATATCTAGAAATCTTCCTTTACCGGTCCAATATTCAATTCTATCCACGTGACTACTTCGACAAAAGCTGCTAGCCATTCATACTCTCTTTCGTCGTAAGGTTTTATTTTCTTGTTTGCACATGGATATTGGAAGTGTCGGTGTTCGGAGCTTCCTTTGTCAACGAAGAATCTTGGCCACTTCTCTGAAGAATTTTCATCTCTAAGTGATTCCCATTGAATGCGAGGTATGGTCAATGGCGGCTCTGTGTATATATACATCAAGCCTTTCAATACTACCCTTAAACTAGCAGCAATGTTTTCTGGGTATCTGAAATCAATAGAATTTCTTTTAGAAATAATAGCCAACTCGGTATCTTCTGGGTTCGTTTCCTGGCCGCCATTATGTAACGAGACCTTGGCTAGAGTTTCTTCAAGACCAGTGACTTTGACATCTAGTGGATACTTGTCTACTGTGTCAAGTAATAGCCGAAGGTATCGATCATATGGTACTAGTTCAATCACATATCTGCCCGGGTTGTGAAAGCCTTGATTACTATCCCAATAATGGGATAAACTTCTGTTCTTAAGAGTTTTCATCGCTTTTCTCTCAAGCATAACCACAGTATGAGTAGCGTTGGGTCGAGGAGCCCCCTGCGATGGATCAAGTGGTCTCTTCAGAATTCGTGGATATGTCTCAATCAAATATGCTGAGAATTCTATTTGGTCGGATTTCCGTTTGTTGAGCTTCAGCTTGGCATGCTTGATCCAATTCCAATAGTCCCAGCAATATTTCAAACTGGACAAAGATTCATTGCCATCAAACCTGATGTCTGTAATGCGTGGACAAGGCCCTCCATACTTGACGAGAAGATCGAAATCATGATTGTTTAAGTTCAAGCCAACTTTGATCATGCGTTTCATTTGAAAGACCAGGTGATTCACGGTTATCAGGTTACTCAAGAGTGTCTGGCCTAATTTCGCAAACACAGAGTCTGCATCTGCAGGAGGCCAGCGATAAAACCAGCATATCTCGCGGTAGAGTGGGTAATAGTTCAAAGCATGCGAAATTTCGCTTTGTGAAGTGAATAATCGACCATAGACTCTATGAGAAAGAACGCATTCATTGAGGTATGGTAACTTCCAAGAGAGAATGGATAGCATCTTGATGACTGGTAAATCGCTCAAAACTTGATGAACTATTTCTCGCGGTAACTTTTGCAAGCACCGAACCACTACCGGAAGTTCGCGTGGCCATGGAATCGACCAAATGTTGGAGTCCATTGTGTAACGAACTTGGACGTTGGAAGAATTTTATCGGCTTGAGATAGAACTACTATATTTGAGGGCAATACTGTGGTTTTGTTGTTCTTTGTGCAGAATTCGAATGACTTACAGGGCTCAGCACGATGGTGCATTAGTGGGCTTGGCCCGCTAAACTGCTGAAATGGCCCATCATCTACGCCGCAAATAAGCTTAAACCCCACCACCTTGAGGGCTCGATGAGTAATTCAAAGGATGAGACAAAAAAAGTAGTCACAAAATATCTCACTGTGAATTATTCTGGTAGCTATGTTGAATACCGAAGAATCATGCCAGGACTTTATCAAGAACCACACCCCTTCTTCAATAGCCCAACAACTTCGACAGGATCAAGAGTTATGCCAAACACAGGGGCTTCCTAGTCTTTTGGCCCTCTACCTTCCTCACGTCGAATCTCCCTTGGGTGAAAAAATAGCAAAAGAGCTGTATCCTAAAAATGCGCCGGCTCGGTACTTATATTCGATAGGATCAGCTTCGTATACTGGCATAATACAGGGAATTCAAGCCTACCTACATCAAATGAGCCCTCAATCTAGGCATGGAAGTCTTCCTGATGCTCTAGGAGGTGCTGCTGAGAATCCACCTTCGGTAGAAGATGTTGAGACTACACTTAGAGTACTTGGTTTCTATGTCAAGAGTCAGGATGGCATTCGTATTGATGGAAAAACACCATTGAACAATGTAGTGCAGGTACTAAACCAGCGTCTGCAGAGCCCATTTTCCACGGCAAGCGAAAAAGTAACAAGAGGGAAAAGGAAAGAAAGAAAATGCTATCTCTGTCACTTTCTTATCACGAGCCCTCACCCTCAATATCTCGCTCTTTGTAAACCCTGCGGAGATTTCAATCTCGCATCAAGCAATCTTTCACTGCCTGAAGCTCTGAATCTGGATGGTAAAACGGCATTGGTAACAGGAGGTCGAATCAACCTGGGCTTTTATACCGCATTGCGACTGCTCAGATGCGGCGCTCAAGTAATAGTATCGTCTAGATACCCACGAGATGCAGCAGTGAGATATTTAGCGGAAAGCGACTCAGGAAAATGGGTCAAGCGGTTGAGAATCGTAGGAGCCGACTTCAGAGCAGCGAACGACGTCTTTCATCTGGTCTCTGGGATTAAGCAGATACTGGGAGATTGGAGTAGAGATAACGCACCAAGACTTGACATTCTTATAAACAATGCAGCTCAAACTTGGACAGACTCGGTGAAAGAAGAAAGACGAGCCATTGAATTGGAAGATCAGCTACGACTTGAGGATAATAACCATGACAATCTAATTCTTGATACCAACTATAATGCTCGACTCAGAGGAGGTGTTCAGAGCTTAAACCTTCTAGCGTTTGACACAGAACAAAAGCGTCTCAACGAGATATCCACCGAGGAAGCCGGAGTAACCGGTCGGACAGAAAACAATACTTCGATCTCAACAATGATGGAAGAACCCAAGACGTCTTGGGTTCAAAGCTTATACGAAATACCTTATGAAGACGTCATTTCCGCGCATTCAGTCAATACATTCGTCCCTCTAATCCTGATCCGCGAACTTCTTCCTCTCATAGGTACTCCCCGTCCACATCCCACAAGTAATGGTCGACCCGCCAAGCCACTAGCCCACATCATCAACGTCTCAGCTCGCGAGGGAGTATTTGAACCTACGCCCGCTAACCGTCACAAAAATGGATATCACGTCCACACAAATCTCGCGAAAGCCGCACTCAATATGCTTACGGAAACGGAAGCAGCAGCAGCGTGGCGAGATAGAAAAGTAGCCATGAATAGTGTGGATCCTGGGTATTTGAGCGCGGCCAAAGAAGTTATTGAGAACAGAAAGAGGAATGGTGGGTGGGATGGATGTCCAATTGGATGGGAAGATGGTGCTGCGAGAGTCTTATGGAGTGTGGCGGTGGGAGAGAGTGGGAAGGGGGCTGTTTGGGGTAGGTTCTTGAAGGACTTTGGGGTGGGAGAGGGCGAGGAGAGAATTTCGAGATAGACAGGGAGGACTTTTCAGGGGGTTTATTCCGTTCAATAATTAGGTAATAAAAGGTTATTTTGATATGAAATATAAGTTGCAAATACCAACTTCATTGCTATACCAATGTAAGACTAGATAGCTTTTTTTAAACATGATTTCTTATTCGACCTACCTCGCTTGATGAGTGTGAAACATAATGGAGATTGGTTTATTGTTCGAATTCTGTGCTATGAATCATGGTTAACACAGATTTAAGATGTACTGAATAAGATTTGTTCATTTCAGTTTGGTGTTTAGACCTTTTGGGTATCAATCAATGTTGAATGACATGGCATTATTGCGTGGGCTATTCTTCAACACCTCTAGTCATACATGATGAAGTTACTACATGGGATAAATTGAAGTATTATGGAATTGCCATTGATATGATAGATGAAATGAAACGTGATTAACAGAAACAAACCAGCTAACTAGCCTTGCTCCCAAAAACTTAAAGCCCATGACGATCAACTGAATCATAACATCATCTGGTTTTCCCTAGCAGGCCCCTCATAGCAAACATCATGCCATGATATATCTTCTTCTTCAGCAATTTGTCTCTTCACTGCATTATATCTTTCCTTTCTTCTCGCCAACTCTTCAGACTTCTCCCTTTCAACTATAATTTTAAAATCGACAACTGCATCTCCAGGAATAATTACCGGCCTCCTAGCAGAAGTCCAATCATTCCGGTATGGATGTTCTCTCAGAGCATCCATATCAAAATCGACAAAGCTTGCAGAATATTCTTTGTGCCAATCCCCAAGCCTCGATGATTCCTCGCGCGACACTTCCCGGGGGTGCTTTGCGTATAAATTCAGAGCGTAGTCAATATCCATTGGGTACTCTAATGCAAGATCTCTCTGTGCGTATGGTAAATGCTCTGTCTTGTCTGCAAGGACGAAAGTTACGCGGATCAGTCCTTCAATAAACGCAAATATGTTCCTGAGATATTTTCGAAAGTCATCGCTATTGTATCTGTCTTTGTACGCCTCAGGAATTGAGAGGATGAGATGCGAGATTTTTGTCCAAAACCGAAAATCAAACCAGATATCCAAAAATATTGCAATGGGACGCCATCTTCTCGCATAGTGAATAGCTGAGTTCGCTAGTTCGTCGTCCGTCTCAAGGTATATCGAATCGGTTTCGAAATTCAAAACAATCTTGCTCTGCAGGCATGGTCCTGGAATATCTTTACAGATAAATTCTTTTCGCACCAATTGAGACTCTTCTAAGATCACTGTACAAGAGATTAGCAACTGTGAGCAAGCTTAAGATTTGGAAGAGCCAAGTTCCATTGCACGCAGGTTCTCGACAATGATGCATTTCTTGAGCAATCTGTGTTATAAATGTAGAAATAGAAAGGGACATTACCGTCTAAAGCTTCCTTACACGCTAGCATTGCATTTGGCATAGCGTAATTAGATTTATATGTATTATAATTTCTTAGAGGTCTGATGGTATTTCGAAGGGGCCACTTGCTCAGAATAGACCGTATCAGAATAATCCTTGGGCTAGGCAAAGTCTTTTTCCATATCATTCGTCGTATCTTAAAGGGAAACTTTGAAAACAATGAGAAAGTCGCCAAGTTCGCAAGAGGTTGGATGCTAGTTAATAGCAAGCGATTTTGGATTGAGCCATTTGAAGTGCTTGGAATTTTAGAAGGCAACTTAGGTTGGCGAGTAGAGGTTTGAGACAGGATGTATGGGTCTGGGATATGGTCAGAAATAGTGGGAAGTCCAGTGGTTATACTAGGCACTTTATCGTGACTGCTGGTTTCGGAGAGCGTCTTGGATTGATCCGCATCTATACGATTTCGATACGAGGTTGTCGGCTCTTGACACGCAGATGAACAAGTACCTTGAGTCTCGTCAGCTGGTCCATCTCTAGTACGATCATCGTCGTTCCTTGAATTAGATCTTTTCTCCATTGTATTGAGCTTCCTCGTTAAAAGTGATGAGGGAGGATATTTGTCTAGAGGGCAGATCTTCCTTAGCTGTCTGCAAGAGTGGCAAGACGGAAATCTTGATTGTAGCCGAGAGTATGTGGCTATCTCAGGTTTGTCGAGAGGGTGAGTAACTCTGAGCCGCGTATGTATGCTGGCCCTGATGATCCTTTTGAAATAAGCACCTAGCTAAATAAAGCTGATCTGAAGAGGCGGGAAGATGGACGCTGATTTGAGTATTGTCTTTTTATTGTATGCAGAGGGTGTCGTTAAACCTGACGAAGAGAACCGATATCTAGCGGGATATTATCAGGCGAGAAAGAACAGCCAAGAATAGTAGTTTGCATTGGATGGTTTTGTCCAATACTCGCAGAGAGGAAGTTATTGGAGCCGAAAAGTCGCAGTTGTGCTAAACAAAGTACTCAAGATAGGTTGCGTTGTGCAAGTATGCAAATGAAGATAGTTGCAAGTCTTTGTAGACGTCAATTTGGAAGAGTTTCCTTGTTCTTTAAATGTAGAAGAGAAAGGTGGAGTTGACGAAATACTCCAAGTAGTATGTTTCTGTTTGGAAAAGGATTAAATGTATGAGCAACAGTCAAAGATTGACCACTAATGTAAGAATGACTTCTTGTCCTGATTGGTATATTGTTGAAGGGCATAGAAGTAGGTTGGTTCTGAGTACTTACAAGAAGTGAATTGTTCTTGTCCAGGCGTAGTCTTTATATATATATCTCCAACCATGGAAATTTGAACTCATTTCGGCCAAACCACGGGCTCGGGCTTAGGAGGCATTATTTTGAGGGGTAGCATTGATCGTGGTGAATCTTTAATTGAGGCTGTACTGGACATAAATTCAAACAGACAAAGTAATCCACATCCACTACTACAACAAGGTCCCTTCATAAATATAACACTTGCGAACACATAACAAATTACTTCTGATTACTGATTTAGTTGTGAACTCTTGTTGTGAACCCTTTTTTACATTATAGCTCTCTCTTCTACTACAAGGAATTTCTTTTCACTAATAGCTAATTACAGATCAACTCAAAACGCGAATACTAATTCTCACTGCCTTTTCACGCAATATCTCATAGATTTCTTGCTAAATTTTAGAGATCTGCCTTTAATCGGCAATCCTTCTGTCTCTTCATACTTTCACTCACTTTCAACAACAGCCGCAAGAATCTACCACTTGAAAAGATCTTATAACTTTCCTCCTCATCAACCTTCACTTTGAGTCTTCTGGTAAGCACTTGTCAATATCCCATAACTGTTTATCACCTCCTTCATTTATCAAACCTCCCACTGATCACTCTTCATGAATATAGTAACGAACAGCCACGATGTCTCGTAAGAACACTCACGTCCCAATTTTTGAAGTAGCATTCTCAAATTGCTACATATCAGACGACCGGCCTCGTAGTGCAAACAAGCCAGTTCCATCAAGGTCGATTCCGTACCTGTCGTTTGAAGACGAATTCTATCAAGAACCTGGTCTTAAACAAGAACCAAAAATCACTTCCAAATTCAAGGCTGTAAAACCAATAGGCGATTTTCTTATAGATGGCCCAACTTCACTTGAGTAAGTATAGATCAAATATTCTGCGCCATTGATATCAAAGATTGTGGACTAACATTCAGCAGTTTCTGGAAGTTATTTAAGATGCTCCCTGTCGGAGTACGAAACAGGATTTACAAACTTTTGATATTCGCTTGGTCTCCAGATGCCGAATATGCGCGCCTCTCTCGTAACGGAAGACGATTTAGTATTTCCAGAAGAGTTTCAGCCGCACACCGCGCTCTTTCTCCTATTCATTACGTGTCCGACGAGGTTTTAGGTCTCACAGAAGATGATCTTGAGGACTGGACAAATGAGAAAGATTGGGAGCAGTCAGAGGGAATGCTCGATTTCTTCAAGCCGAACGAATACCGGGGTATTCAGAAATTAATATGGCTTCTAGAAAAAGTCGAATATGCACTACAACTAGACGAAGCAAGCAGTAACAGCCTGACTATGGGCGGGAAAGGAAAGGGCAAAGCGATACAAAAGATGAACGTTGCACATGATGAATACATCAATCTCTGGAAGGAAATTGTCGACTTCTTCTGGGATAACGTTGTTATTGACTTCGGTGAGCGTCTACATTTTGGCACCATTGATTTAAATGGGTCCAAGAAACAGAAAAATGTATTTTGATCCACCCCGTAATTCAAACTCCAAACTAACCGCGTTGTAGCTACAAATTCGACGATGCACCACTAAGGACAACCACGCAGAAGTGAAACACATATGCTTACACTTGAGCACCTTTTGGCATGACCAAGACCACACTGTGGATGAGGCGTTCTCGGACCACTGTGAACTCTGTCGATTTTTACTTCTCTGTAAATTTATCACAGAGCATTTTCAATGCGTCAAGACATTGCTACTGTTTTTATCTTTGCCAAAAGACGAAATGCTCTACTTCCACCAAAACATGCGCTATGTGGCTAACGATGTTGTGAAGGCAATCAAAGAACTGAAAGTCAATGATGAGTTCGATGTCAGGGCGCGGGTACTCAAGACTAAAGATGGGAGAACTAGTGATAAAGAACTAGATCATTTGTCCAACAAAGCCCGCCAAACATTTTTGAAGTGTTTGGAACCGCATACTATCACCAGTACCAAGAAAGCGAATTAAGTTCGCCAGTCGGTGTCAGTGAGAGCCAATCGGCACACTAAAGTAACCAGGATAGCATAGAGCTTGGGAGGACCAAAGCATTCTTCAACCGAAAGGCATATTCAAAGGAAAATTCGAAATATCAACAGAGGTCTTGCTTTCGTTTTCAAGCGGCTCAAGATGCAGCGCTCATGCTTTTGTTTCCAGAAACGGGATAGTTGGTTTACAAGGGTTTCTGCTCCCACTTGAGAGTGTAGCGGAAACTTTGCTTATAGCAAAGATAAAGAAGTAATGGGCATTTCATAACACGAAATATCTCAATGTGACAGTAAAAAACGTGGTATCTTGAACTTGTGCTGTATCTTCGTCTCAACTTGAGGGATATCTGGTCTGCAAGCTACGACCATGTCCAAGGAGATTGTGTGGAATTGAAAATCGATTATTATCTCTTATGGTACTTTTAGATATCATTCCTAATGATACTATAATTCTGAAAGTGTCTAGCGAGGCACGCAGATGTTCATAGGTTTAGCAGTTCCCATTTACTGGTTCCAAATTAGTTTAGAGGTGTTCGATAACGTTGATGTTTAGTTGCGAAGTACGCACTGTAGATTTCAATAAAGTATCCTTCATCTTTGTCTTCATCCTCATTTTTCAATGAACCCCATGTTCATGGTGATATGGAACGAGTCAGAACGTAGTATGCATAGCTGAAGTTAACTATGATATCCATACCTGCTACACAATAGGCAAGGGTCGAGTTGCAAATCAGCGAGATGAACTGATCATACATCAACTTGAGCGATCTTGCGCTTCGAGGCATTATCATTAATTGTGGTGAATTCTCGAGAGCATCCGAGGTTTTGATTCCGAGCACAAGGATTGTTGTGGGACATTAAGCAAGTCGATGAAGCCCGTGATGATGCCGGATGATATCGAGACGCTGCTCTTACTACCAGTATTCTTCATATACATTATTCCTCATGTGTATGCGGTAACAGACAGAGTCCTAATGGACTCATAACCTTTGGTTCTTCTGGTTCTATACCCCAACCTCGCGTTGATTCTGTGCACTTTCTGGATCGCACGCTCTGTAGTTCGATTGCGACGATCGTTGGAAAGAAGAAAACACCTGCTCGTGTGACAAAGTCTGGGGATTGAGGTTGAGTCGAGAAAATCCGTAGGCACCTTAAAGCTCAGTGCTATCAAAGCCAAACAGAGGGTCGGTAGCTAGCGAAAGAGGAGGGGGCACCTTTTGTTGTCGGGACTCAAGCAATCGTGGTAACTTCGTTATTGTATGGCAAATGGTAGAGTCGAAGTAATGTTGATATTCCCTATAAAAGGGAAGGAAAATGACTTGTTGTCAAGATTATATTTGTGGTAAATTCCAAGTCCCGGAGAAGTGGGAAGAAACAGAAGGGCAGAAAGAGCGCAGGCTTATTAGTTCGATCTATCAGACAAGCTGGCCATTACAGATCTTGTTGCCAGGCAAATTAGAAAATCACATATAAATATCGGAGGAACTCAGGTTGTGAGAATGAATGTTGTCCAGCGTGGTCTTGATATTGCCGAACAAGAATTAAGAAAAGTGAGCACATTGGCGTCAAGCAAAGTTGAACATGACAGGGTACTTGCCAGATCCACTGTGGACTGACCTGGAGTGATGATTGCCATCGAAACTATATCATATAAATTCCCACGATTCTATACAATCAATAGAAGTTGTATCAAACAGATTTGATGGTTATTGAAACATTCAATTGACAAAACCCAGCTGAGTCTTTTTATTCACTTGAAAACTGTTTGTGATTGTAATAACCATCGAAATATGATCTGGCAAACTACAAACCTGCATCGTGTATTTCTGCAGAAGGAACCAATGGCTGGGTATTTATTCTTTCCAACTTTTGGGTCGTTGTCGTCGTTGGCAAGGTTGACATGAGTAAGTATTACAAGGTTTGATGAAGGAGACAATATGGGGAAACAAAGCTTAGTGTCTGTGCTAGGTTGCGGCTCTAGTGCTGCAAGTACCAGAAATTTAGTGCTAACAGCATCACTCATTCAACAGACAATAAAGAATTTCTACATGGCATTCGACGAGATGGTCAATTTCTGCTAATTACAAATACACTCCCTCCGTCGCACTCGTAAGGATATTCTTCGTATCAGCTATGGCTCTCTGCTTCTACAAATCGCACTCATTTGACTGCCAGGTTTCCATTCACATAGGAACCACCTTGAAAATTCGTCAACAAATCAATTTTCTGGAACGTACAGCTCAACAATACAGATCACTACGGTGGATCCCTTCTCTTATCACCCGAATCCCCCTTCAAACTTATTTTCAGAGCCCGGTTCAAAGCCCGGAGAGTCACCACGAGCCGGCGAGAGTTTCTCACTGCTTACAGTTCCGCGGGAATGGAGTAGTCATTCCTATCCCGCTACGTGCGATAAGACTACTATCATCCCCCATCATTGATGCATTCAGATTTGTAACATATCGTCTATCTTACAAAGTCATGGAAGTGTATCATTCCGGGGGGCGACCCCGCCCAAGTTTTGGGTATAAGTTGATCGCATCTGGAAAGCTTGTCCCTCATTAAATCCATCGAACAAATAGAACAAAATGGGACACTTAAAAGGGATCACGAAAGTTGTAGTAACACAAGCAGAACCGGAATGGTTGGATCTTGAGAAGGCTGTGGAGAAGACCTGTCGCCTTATAGTGGAAGCAGCTACGAATGGAGCAAAGCTCATTACTTTTCCCGAATGCTGGATACCTGGGTACCCAGCTTGGATCTGGTATGTATATCGATATAATATCCTGTCAATCGAGCGCCGAAATAACACCAACAAATTTCAGGTCCCGCCTTATTGATTTCGAATTGTCTACAATTTACATCAAAAACTCGTTGAAAATCAAATCTTCTCAGATGGCACAAATTTGTGCTTATGCAGCTAAATACAATATCATTGTGTCACTTGGATTCTCGGAAAATGACAACAATTCTCTATACATTTCTCAGGCAATCATAAGGAATGATGGCGAAATTACAATGGCAAGAAGAAAATTGAAGCCTACTCATATGGAGAGAACTGTATTTGGAGATGCATCCGGCAATTGCTTGAAAAATGTAGCAGAAGTTCCAGGTATTGGTAGGATTGGTGCGTCGGCATGATGGGAGCATGCTCAACCATTATTAAAGTACAACACAATACTCCAGAAGGAACATTTTCATGTGGCTGCGTGGCCCCCCGTTTTCGAACATGACGGAGGTCCAGGATTATGGTCCATGTCTAAAGAAGGTTCGTTGTACATTCAATGTCACAATAGAGCCTACTCTATGCTTACGTCAACGCAACAGGCACCCATAATTTATCTCAAACATACGCAATCGAATCTCAAACATTCGTTCTTCACACAACAGCTGTTTTGACTCAAAATGGCATTGATAGAATGGACACAAGCGCCGGCGCTCTAATGAACACCCCGGGGGGAGGCAGTTCGGCAATTTTTGGTCCGGATGGTCGAAAACTCTCTGTCGACATACCAGATGCTGAAGAGGGTATAATATATGCGGATTTAGATCTAGATGATATACTCAAGTACAAAGCATTCATAGATGTTGGTGGCCACTATAGTCGCCCGGATATGCTATGGCTTGGCGTCAACGACAGAGAAAAGAAACATTCTCGGATTCAGGAAGAATGAACTGAGACTCCTGTCAAAGATTGCTGAGGGTATATTCTTCGAGTAGGTTCTACTTATAAGATCATCGAGTACAGTTTGTTGTTCTGCTGAGTAAAGAAAGGCTTTTTGGCATCCGATTCCCATAGTATTCCTTATTTTCTACTGTGCGATTTAATTCCGAATTTCTAAAGCAAACTTTCAGATTCTAGTACGGATTCTAGTTATAGATTAATTGAAAATCGTGCACGTTGATAAACTCAGTGCTGAGGCTTTTCCACGGGAATAATTGCATTGTCTTCAAGTGGAGAACGGGAGTGTTCGAGGTTAAAGACTCCATCGAGCCCAAGTCGAAGACCTGTCATTCGTGAAGAAGGGCTAGCCCCTGATTATAAAACTTTATGAAGCTTTTCTGTGTGAGCTTTGAAATTTATTGGGTTTAAACGGCATCTCCGTTTCCTCTTGGGCACCGAAAATGATTAGTTAAGAGCCTATCTGCTTTTTGTATTTCTTCCAATAGTCGAGATTCTAGGGGCAAACGAGTTCCATATGTTGCTCGACTACGCTATGGGGAAATTGTATACCACATTTTTTATGTTTGAGCTTAGGATATGACCTCTAAGTGAATCATTCCATTTGCATCGGTTATTGAACGCATATATAATCTTTGCGAGCAAAGTACAGACTTTTTTCTCCTACAACTCTGGATCACATCCATTTTTTGCGCAACGCCTTGGCTCTCACTGCCCGACGGTTTGCAATGAACTATCTGAATTCACGCAGCAGATGATGGCAATGAAGCCAGAAAATTTAAGTGTCGCGCCTAAATTTGCGTTGCGATATTTTTCTCTTCTCTTGGTTCAGTAGCGCCATGATGTAGCACGGGATATCATTCTACATCACTAACACTTCTCGCCATATCCATTCTGATCAGTCCATGGCGCAATGTCGTCACCGCTACAGCTCTTGGCTGAGATTGATTAACCCGCACAGTAAATTCGTGTTTGAACATCAAGCAGTCGTTAGCTAACTAATTTCAGTACATATTACCACCTTATTAGGAACTTGCTACCTTGATTATCTTCTTTATAGGGTACCAGCGCTTTATGTCAAGCTGAGAAGTACCTGAATTAGCCATGGAGAGGCCAGTGGTCGAAGGGAAACCCCTACTTTTCCCAAACTTTGGTTTTGGCTCTCCCTGCGAAGTAAACGACCTGCGTCTACTCATGTATGAAAAGCTCAGTATACAAGTGTCAGTGAGACAAAGAAACATCCACTCCGAATTATGCAAGCAGCTTCAAATTTCCGACGTCGGGGAGCGATTTCTGGAGAGACTGATGCTAAATTTGGATTTTTCAGGGCCATATTTTCGACGTTTTACAGACGGTATTGATATCGGAGACCATTCTATAGGCAATAGCTTTGTGACTTTATTGAGCGTAGCCAAGATTATTTATGCAAATTATACTGATAAGAGAATGAGTAGCTCAGGAACTGGACTTCGGAGTGATGAGGAGAAGGTGCAGTGAAAATAAGCTTGGCAAATCCAAGTAACCTATGAAACACACTCGACCCAAACACAACCCATAACAAAATACCACCTCAATATACCTTTGCATGTCAAAGACTTGAAATAGGGAAGGAGGTGCTGACTCACGGTCATAACTCGGCCGAGTTACCGAATGTCACCCAAAATGCACCATACCCCTTGATCATGACGTTCACAGGGTGCAACCCCACCTGCCTTTCGAATCTAGGGTTCAATACATTAAAAAGCTTATTGAAGATATATGTTTGGTGCATAATCTCTTCCATCAAATTTGCAGATCTAAAGTCGTTATGGGTTCTGCGATTGCGACAGAATTCGTGAAATGTACGTCTGTTTGACGATATTGTCGTGAGCGAGCATAAAAAGATTGTAGTTACATGTATTATAGTATCGTTTTCAAAAAGGTATCAGGTATTCAAGATGCTTTCGATCAAAGCATCCCTACTCTTGTTCCTCCACTTGGGTCTATTTTCACAAGCTCAACTCACTGGTCCAGTTGGCGCAACCACACCTCTTTCCAAAAAAACTATTGAGTGCAACATTCGCACCCTATATCCAACCTTCAATCCCCTCACCGACGATGTCTCTATCCCAATTACTAACGCATTTACCTCTTGTGTTCAAAAACATGCTGGTAGTCGTTTAATTGTACCTGCGGGAAACTACACGCTCAAAACTAGCATTATCTTGAGTAATGCAGCTAATTGGGCTTTTCAACTTGATGGTCTTATTACCGCGACTTATTACCCCAATTCGACGGATTCGACTTATGTTGTACCATATGTTGTACCTCGCGCAAGGATTCTAGAGGGATTTGCAGGTGTAGAGAAGTTGAATAGGTATGTATTGCCGAAGCAAATTCTGGATGATGGGATTACGGACGTTGAGGTATCGAATAGTACTATTAATGGGGAGGGTGACGGAGAGTTCTTGGAGAACTTAATCGTTATTGTTAATGGTGAGACAATCACTCCTTCACTTTCGATTCTTCTCAACTAAACAAACTTAGCCGTTGATTTCGAACTCTACTCCGCTAATGGTCTTGGAGCAATTCAAGGCCAAGGTTATTTGTACCGTATTAATGGAAAGTAAGTTATCCCTTTCTCTTCAAAAGATTGTGTCTATCTAACAACTCCACAGCACTAATCGACCTCGAATGCTCCGTCTCATTTCTCCGATAAATGCTACAGTTCATGATCTACTTTTAATTGATAGTCCCAAATTCCACTTCATCTTTGATTTTGGCGAGAATATTGAAGTATATCACCTGACTATCCGCGGAGCTAATCTGGGTTCTTATGATGGAATTGATGCTATTGGAACGAACTATTGGGTTCATGATAACGAGGTATGGTTTCTAGATCTTAAAATTCTTCCAGACTACCACGGGGTTTGGATTAAGGAAAACAGAAACTGACGTTGGTGATGATAGGTAACAAATAGAGATGAATGCGTATCTGTCAAAAGTCCCTCCCATCATGCACTGGTGGAGAATTTGGTTTGTAACCAAGTTGGCTCGGGAATTTCGATTGGGAGTTTAAATGTTTCGGCCGAGATATCAAACATTGTTCGCATCCCCCCTTCTCTTTCCTCGCCTCTCTTACTCTTAAAGCTAACCCTTCCACCAAGCACGCACGCAACATATCCGTTCTCGGCGGTAACGAAATCGTCTTCATCAAGACCTACCCCGGTGGCTCCGGCTATGTCTCCAATATCCTCTGGGAAAACTTCCGTTCCAAAGCATCTCTCTACGGAATAAACCTCAACCAATACTGGCAACAAACCTACCTCCCCGATAGCGGCGCCGTCGCCTTAACCAACATCACCTTCCGCAACTTTACCGGCTCCATCCAAAACGGCGCTCAACGTCCCGCGCTCTACCTCCTCGCCTCCGACTACATCCCCGCCACAAACGTCACCATCAAAGACGTCACCGTCTGGACCGAAAGCGGAAGCACAAGTGTGAACCACATTTCTAACATTTTCGGCCAGGGCGATAATGTCTATGGCACTAACGATGGTCTTGTCAGTTTGGGCGCGGGAGAAAATCCAAAAACAAAAACGTATACCAGTGCGTATACGATTACTAGTGCGCCGACGGGATGGGCGACACCCACGTGGCCAAGTTGGGCGGTGCCGACAACGGGGTATGGTATCGCGGTGCCGATTCCGGTGTATACGCCTGCGCCGTTGTGGAAGCCGCAGGGGGATTATGATAAGCATTATTGGGGGACTTTTTAGAGGGCTGTGTAGAGATGAGGGGGCAGTGGGAGAGGGGGATTTTGAATGCTTGGGATTTTTGGATGAGGAATGTTGTCATATGTTGGTGTGTTTGAATAGGATAACGGTGTTCTGCTTTGATATATTGAGATGCTGTAGTGAGATCTCATACTGGCGACATTATCCCATGAATTATTTGTTCTGTCTTTTTGGACGCTATAATCCAAAGTACTGAATACAAGTCCAGCGTGTGCGAGAAAAGGATGTATCAGTGAATGCTCATACACCTGATATGGATGGGACAATTGGTGAATCATTGAAAAAATAGACAATATTGATGACGAAATATCCATTAAAACTCCTATATCATCCTACCTATCCAAACACCAAACATGCCCGTGCCATGCCAACCCGCGCCTCATCCATCAGACACCATGCACATCCATCCACCAAGACATAACATAACATCATAATTAATCGCCCCTTTTACTTATTCCATTCATCCAAGCAAGCCCCGGCTGACCCTCCCCTAAGGATGCGGCGCCTCGGTATAAGTACACAACTTCCAATCCGCACTAGCCTCCTGCTTCCAACAACTCGTACAATAGGCCTTGTAAATGCCCTTTGAATAACCCTTCTCATCCGTGATACTCGCCGTCACATCATACACGACGGTGGCGGCCATCATGCTCACCTCCACAATCTTCATATCCTTAATCTCGTAGGAATTCCACGTCCGCATATCGTCATCCTCGAGCGTTTCCTTCAACGTCGGCTCGGAATCGTTGGTCAGGATTCCGTACTCGGGAGACGCAAACACGGCTTTGGGATCAATGTATTCGAGCAGCGCGGAAGGCTTGTCGAGACGACAGCGCCAGGTTTGATGCTCCAGTTCGTACATGGCTTTTTCAATTCGCTGCGATATGGTGCCCGGACCGTAGTTTCCTCCCTTGTATCGAGGTTTGCTGGTTTCGGGCTGTTTTGCTTGTTGGAAGTTTTGCTGGAAGTTGTGGGCTAGCTGCCCGCCATTTTGTTGTTGTTGCATCGACATGTTTTGGGGTGGAGCTGGTGGAGATTGGCTCTGGAGTTGTTGGTTTGGAGCTTGAGGCTGCGAGCGCGATTTCTTGGCTTTGCGTTCGCGATAGGCTTCGGATGAGGGTTCGAGAATAAAGGACATCAGAAAAGTAAACAAATGAAAAAAATTGCTTTGAGAAGGTCTTTATAGTTGGTTTTCTTCAAGGTGGATTAAGTGGAATTGGGGAATGGGAAAACCAGCAACGAGGCTGGGTGGGACTTCATACATTAAAAAAGATTGGAAGAAGCAGGAAAATAAGATGGTGTGATGTCATCGAGGTCCAGATTCAGGATCTTGCTTGCTGGGTACACTCTTTTGGCGAGATTTAATCCTGGTTGTTGCGTGTTGGCGGGCTCGTGGGAAACAAGATTTTTTTTGGTTTTGGTTTTGTTTTGTTCATGGGTAGGTATGGTGGTATGTAATCTTACTATGGGGTAAGTTGAACACGCAAGGCACAGCGGCGGACTAGATGATGTCTACTTCGACTTGGATTGCACTAAGTACGAGTAGTAGGGTATGATAAGATTATGTGTATGCGTGTTAATTGTACTAGATGCAGACTAAATACAAATATTATCATGTTATTCATAGAATACCTAGGTATTTCTAGTCTGGAGGGGTGATGTGATACTGGGATGAAGCTTATCACGGGCCACTTTAGCTGTGGGGTGACGACAGCAACATCTAGAGCCATCTCCTTTTTTAGTTTGAAAGCCGTTGACATGAATATGACAGTGTCAATATTGGATAAAACATGGTGGCTGTCCAGTTTCCATGTTCAAAAAGTGGAAGTAAAGGATAGAGTACTAATATTCTTGACCACATAATACTACCCAACTACCAGCTAAGCAATAGGTAATTAGTTCTTCGTGGCTTATCGCTGCCACTAAGAGATATTTGCAAATGTTCGGTTTCTGGGACTCTCCTTCGTTTGTTCAACCCAGCCTTACACTTGAAGGTTACATACGACATACTCAGAAGTACAAGTAAGTATAAAATAAGTACATATAATGTTTTACATCATAGATATACGACGACTTACATTGTAACAACTAGTTATTGTATTAAGACCAAGGAATCAAGAGAGAGATGTATACCTATATCTTGACAACTAATACTAAGCTAGCATACATAAGCACAATGAATCCATTCCACATTCTATACCTATATAGTGTGTTTCTTTAGCTACCTACCTACCCGCTATTTAGTAAATGATATATGGGGTCGAAGTATACTCATATTAGAGTGGTCTCATTTATAATGGGAAGCGCAAATTGATCAATTGTCGTAAGATACTAATACACAGTCATAACCTACACAACCAACAAATATCCTTTCAATTTTATCAGCTCGACTTTGTCGTTATCTTTTATACGATGATTAAACTTCAATCACGCGCGACCATCCATAAATGACAACACTCAACAGACAGAGAGACGAAAAAGAAAACTCCCGCAAGTCCCTAGTATCATAATCCCAAATGCCGTGGAAAAATTCCCTCGTCTCACTTAATCCGTGAATCACAGCCCCTTGTCTATCTCTCTTCATCGGTGCTCGGTAATAGATAGATTGTATGGAGGGTAAACATTTCGAGTGGAAAGGAGGGTTTTATACTGGCATAGTTAATTGGTGTTCCTGGAATTGAAGAGTTTTATTTGCTCCCAGTGAATACAAACTTCCTATGTATATGCGAGAAGAAGTAATCCTTTCTCTTTGTTCCTGCTATACAGCTGTGTTAATCCGGAAGTCTATTCATTCATTCATTCATTATGCCCAGATTTGCGGATTGGGATGTTCACTCATGAGATCTAAGGTAAGTATCTATAGATACCTACCTACCTACATATCTACCTTCCCGGGTATATAAACGCAATTATTGCAGTATATTCATTCTTCATTCAACGCAGAGATTATGTCTTCAGCAACGACGAGAGGGGTATGGATCATCAAATACTCATTGCGCTGGGGATTTGGATATTGATTCACAAAGGCTTCACCTCATATTGTTTCATTTGTAGGGATATTCGAGACGGGAATGGAGATATTGCGATCCTTGATTGTTATTGTTGATAGAGGATATCGTTGTTATTATTTTGTGATATCGCTTTCTCTCATTCCAGTTTCTATACGTAAGTTATACTGATACCTATTGTCAAATTATATAAGAGCATTATTACATTCGCATTCCCATTTCTATTTCTGTTCTCTCTATCGATCCAGATCAAAGGTTGTCGGATTTCTACAAATTATAAACTATAAGCACAAAATGATGGAGAATCAGATATCGTGAGTCTTCGAGACACATGAGCCGGTATTGTTTCAAAAGTAACATGCCTGGATGTCTTGGATTTTCTGACGCGGGGGGGAGTTTAAATACATGGATGTATCTGAGTTCATTTGATTGGCTGGTTGATCAAAGATGGAGAATGTACTAGTAGGTAGGAGGAGGTAGGTATAGAAGCAAGTAAGTGAATTGTAAGATTCCCAAAGTTTGAAGGAGTAGCTATATAAAGACCTTGAAATCATATGAGAAGGAGTAAAAAGAAGTCATCGTCAAAAAAAAAGGTACTTTTCACGGGATGAAAGCTACCAGTGATTAAATCGTGCGTTCGTTGGAGGTATACCTACTAAGATAAGTTTTCCATGTCCATATTCGCTTAAATGTGCAAGTCATTTGACAGTTTCATCGTCGTTTTCATTCTCGTTTTTGCTGTCAGTTGAAAGTGACATGTGTATTTATGTTTGTCCATGATACTCGATGATTGTAGTGACAACAATTGAGTAGATCAAACGAAGTTCTTGTTTCCTAGAAGGTTTCTGATACTGTAACGATATGATATGCAAATAAAGCTAGATGCTATATCACCTCACGATCATACCGAAGAGAAAATCTCCTTCCCTGCAAACGATTTTTGACGGGCAAGTGTATGGATTAATGATGAGTACAATTCGAGTTCTTATATAGCGTGAAAGTTGCACAGCATCTGCTTGATCAGGACTTAGAGTGAATAATCTATATCCCAATAGGAGGCAAGAAACAGGTGGAGTGTGCTGGACATTGTTTTCCTAAGAAACTGGCAGGTATTTAAGAGGCCGGGTCGTTAAGAGAATAGTTCTACAAAATACACTGGCGTGCAAGCGTTGGGAGGCAAGGACCTAGAAGAGGGGAGTATCCAAGCTTCCTGTGTTATATTCATGGACTTGACTATATAGTAGAGATCAGTGCTCTGAGCTATACTGAATTCTTATTGTCATCAAGGATATGTAGGCCTACTTATTACCAACGTCTTGCCCATCATTAAAACCCAGACTATTGCTGTCTCTTTACCCAAAAATCAGGTTGGTATCACTCAAGTTTTTGCCCGCTGGCAGATATAAACTACATATATCATCAATCATCCCCTATACATTGATATAAGCTATGTACTATATACTACATACCATACTCTCCTTCTTGCACGAACCCTTGATATCCCAATTTCCTCTTTGCAGTACTTCTACTACACAAGAAATTCCTCCTCAGCTTAACCTCTTATATAACCTATTTGCAAATAAGACACATGACTTTCACAATTAGAGAAGAAAACCCGGGTGATAACTCTAGTTCTCCAACAAATCTGAACATAAACTTTAGGTATAAATTAACCATCTTCAACACTCTTGAAGAAGCAGACAAGTTCCAGAACACAGCAAATCCCACAGGAGCAAAACTTCAGCTTGTTATTCATCTTACTCGGCAAAAAGGAATGTGATATTCTATACACCCTAATCCTCTATAAAAAAAAAAAAGTTACTTAACCCTTCCCCTCCTTTCTCTCGCCGAAAATCCATCATACCGTCTTTCATTTTCCATACACGAACTCTTATTTCCGCTGTCATCGTATTTGCTTCCTAATTCTCAATGCTAAATCTTACCTAACCCATTCTTTCCCTCCATCTGCTTAAACCCCAGCATCTCGTTCGAGTGTACACTCTACACACCCTATCATCCATCGTCTTACGCTTCCTTATTCATCTAGCAGGATTATAAACCTCCAGCTATTCCGCTCAACTTCGGGGCTCATCCGACATATACATATACACATAAGCCGCAACCAGAACAAATCACAAATCCCTCATATCCCGCTAAACATGCGGTACTCAACGAGAAAAATGCAAGAACTAAGTAAGACTTACATACCCACAAATTTTGTCAGAAACAGGGGAATCAATAATTTTCTACTTCAGTCCCGTCCCAACATATCCCCCCACCTCTTTCATCCGAGCGACGAAGCCCTCAAGTCTTCTCTTTCTCTACAAACTAATCATCTTGAGAAGCAAACACACCTTTCCCGTCCCTTGACTATATCGAAAATATTCGTACCTGGAATACCTTCAAGTGAAGACCATAATTTATTGATCTTTACTACGTACTTTGTTTCACGCGACAACATCACACACACTCTGTAGCCCAACTTCTCACTCCCGTACTAAAATCAATATTGTGAATATGTTGAATACCATCAACATTCTCGAACCCAGCAACTCTAGCCCTACCCGTATCTACCACCCAGTACTCATCACTCATTACCCCATTCTTTTTTCACCATCCATATCACTCCATCCCATCCCCTCCTCCTCCTCTCCTTCTCACTCCCCTCCCCTCCCCTCCCCCTCCTACTCCATCTCACACACCAACACCAACCCCTCCTCCCTCTCCCTCTCTCCCCTCCAAAAATTCCAATTCCCATCCCAATTCCCATCCCAATTCCGAATCTCCCAAACGACTCCCATCCACATTCACACCCACATCCTCATCCTCACCCTCTTCCTCATTCTCAAAATCATAAATCTTCTATCTTCCCTTAAATCCCACTCTCACTCTCATTCCCATATAATTCCTCCACACACCCAATCACACCACTCCAATCAACCCACTTCTCCCCTCTCCTCTCTTTACCATACCATACCATACCTATCAATCACATCAACCCCATCCATCCATACATACCCCCCAAGAACCAACAACCTCCCTCTCTAAACCCATCTCCTCTCAAACCTACCTTATCACTCTTATCACTCTTATCACTCTTATTTATGAATTCTATCCCATCCATCTATCC